TTCCTCGAGACAAGCACGCGCGAGTGACATATGTACGCTATTTCCCGCCAAAACCATCCCGACATGGCGGCATGTATAAAATATAAACACTTATAATATAGGCTTACCATAGTTAATAAGGGTAAGACAAAAACACGTTTTGGATGAAGGATTGATTATGTATTGACTCGTTAATTATGAAATATAATTTAGGGACTCTGTAGTTATGCCATTCACACACATGTACAGAGAGCCTAAAGGGACATGATGAAGAAAAAATATTAGATGCAGATGAAAAAATTATGTCAGTGCTTTTATATTACTCGCAAATATTTTGTGTTCCACTGAGAAATGTTGCATTCGCTTGCAAAGAACACAAGTTTGGCAAGGGAACACAAACTTTCGTGGGGGAAAGCAAAGGTTTTGCGAGTGAACGCAAAGTTTCTTGGGGAATGAAAAAGCATTCAAATATAGCCTATTTTTCCATCACCATGTCACTTAAGTACCAATGCATAAAACTTTCACATTATTTATTTTTATTTTCTTAAAAAAATAATTGAAAAAATCTGGACATTAATCATGTCTTAATGGTTTAGGGCACTTGAATCTACTGGCAGCCCTAATATTTTAAGTCGTAATTTCAGTAACATTAAAAAAAATCCAAGTACCTTTTAGAACTGGTTTGAGTAATCCTGGGATACATGAACTCCAGATCGAGGAATCACTGACTTAAAATGCATTAAGGATATTCAATGCATTTAATGCATGAGCAAAATTATCAAATGCATTTCTCTGTTCTAACTGAGAGCAGAAACATGTGGCAGATTTTATATGTAAGAGCCTGACCTGTTATGGAGCAGGACATCTTCATAATACACATTAAATAAGAGACTGAAATGTGAATTGTAAAAAAGATAACTTATTTTATTTTCTATTTTTTGGACGCAGTTGTCCATTAGTATGGCTTGAGATCATTGTTGAATCACAATACTTATATAGAACAACATTTGCTCCATTAAAGGAGCTTTGGGTTAAAAACTCTTTGTGCAGTTCAAACGAAAACAGCATTCATTTACAAACACAAAGATTAAGGTATATTGCAGTGTAACTGCCAGAAATAATGCATATAATGCATAAAACGGAGCATTTGTAAAAACAAAAATATAAAAATATTCTTTTGAGCAAGAAATATAAATACAAATGTAAAATCATTAAGACATACAGTTATATATATACAAAGTTATAGGCATTATAGTGAGAGAATTTTTAAGTCTTCTTGATGTTCAGTCTTTCTTCTAAGAGTGGTTTGTGTGAAGAGTTTTCCAGGTGATGTTCATTCTTCCGAGCACAACGCTGCAACATCCTCTGAGTGATCCGGGAAAAGACGCAGGATGTCACGGGAATATTTGGAGTAGCCGTCATGGGAGAGTAAAACTCGTTTGAGGGTGATGAACGACACGGCCCTCTCCAGAAGATCTGAGGTGTGGAGGCCGTTCTGAAGATACTCTCCAAGAGCAGATTTCAGCTTCTCCAAACTGTTGCCACACTTTCTTTCCAAACATGTAAGAACGCATCTGAAAGCAACAACACAACCACTTTAGTTCATGTGCATTTAAAAGATTAAAGCTGAATAAATACCAGAAGATAATGCTTTATGTTTCCGTGAGTTTCTGAAGTTCTCACCTTGCGTGTTGAACATGTTGAGTCTTGAAGCTGCTCTGGAAAGACACGTCCATGTAAGTCGCCATGTTGAAGTTCAAGCTCAGTTTGGACTGAAGTGTCTTCGCTGTGAAATGTCGTCTCATTTATACTCGCACCTCACTCCTCTCAGCCAATCAGAAGCCTCAGATTTGTGAACAATACTGTGTTGATGAGTGGATCGGTGGGATGTTCTCCTCACTGCCATCTGCCAGTAAGGTCACTGATATTCATCTTTATGAATGTGGGGGTGCAGGACATTTCAGTTTCCCACAAGATGTTCAACTCAAGACTTCTGCAGTTGCAGCTTGTAAATAATGCAGAGGACACAGTCAATATGCTCTGAAAATCTGTTTTAAAACAATAAAAAATTTAAAGAGTTGTTCATTTCAGCACAGGTTTAAGCTTTGTTGTCTGGTGTGTAGGCTATTATAGAATTTCAAACAAAATGCAAAGGAAAAAAAGTTAAACTACAACTTTTATTAAGGTTTAGGCTTAATTTCTATATAATGCATCATTAACACTGGATTTGAAAATACAAGAGAGTTAAAAATTGATACAGATGATTTTTGATCTTGTCAGTGCTAAACGAACACTTGTGGACTCTTGAAAGTCTAACATGCTTTAAGAAAGTCTATTCCCATGTAAAACTGCAGGATAAAGCTTGTGCATGTGTGTAAATATCCATAAGTGTGTCGACTCTCTTGTGTGTGTCAAATATTGAGGTTGTGTTTGGGTTTAGGATGCTGATGACACTAGAACTGTGACTCTGTTCTCCAGAAACCATTCCGACACGTCTAAAATATAAACACTTGTAATAGGCTTAACATAGTGAATCAGGGTAAGACAAAAACTTTTTTTTTTTGAGGAAGGATTGATTATATAGATTGATATAGATCACCGTCACCATTAAGGTGCTCCGTTCTAATGCATAAAAGTTGCACATTATATATTTACACTATAACTGTGACTCTGTTCTCCAGAGTTTCTCACACTGAGACACAAACACAACAATAGAAGTGTGTCTATTCACATGATAATGAGACGGACAAATACTAATAAAACCCCAGGGATTTAAACTCTAAGTAGTTTTGATCCGCAAGCGTTTCCCACGTCATTCACGGTCACTTCAAAATCACTTCTGTGCAAAAGGTTTTTACGTTTTTCAACATTTTTTAATCCGGGCCAATTTAAACAGAAATATACTGATATATAAGTAACAATTTTTCAAATTTTGAAGGATTTATTTTTATTTTATTATATATTTTTATTTGATCTTTTTTTTAACACAACAGTCTAGCTATAAAAAAGTTTAATGGTCCAGTGCGACACACGGCACAGATGATTCAGTATTTGGGGACCGAGTTACTCCTGTGAGAACAGACACACTTCTATTGTGCGAGTGATTTAATGTGATGAATACAGGAGTGTGTGAATCTGTGTGTCTCTGAGACTCCAGCAGTGACAGCAGCCAGAATAAAGATCTGTTAGAAAGCAGCTGCGTGTTCATTGAGCTTTGAGCATGTGGCGGCCCACATCCCTCATTGTCTGGTTGAGCTCTTCCATTGGCTCCAAACTGTGAGAAACTCCAACAAGCTCAAGCCTCACACATTCATATGGAGATTTGTGAGTATAAATAGAGGATCTGCAGCCGGTGTGAATCAGACTCGCTCTGCACAGAGATCTACAGCACAGAGATCCAGACATGACGCCTACAATCATCTCAAAGGAGCATCTCCCTCTCAACAACAAGGTACATCACATGATCCTCCTTACAGCAACATTACATCCGCAGCTTCACCACTCTTCTCCATCACTGCTTATTCCAAGACACTTTCCTGATGCTTTTCTGTCTTGATCTGCAGCTGAGAAAGCCAATAGTGGAGAAGATGTGCAGAGATGCTCTCATCAGCAGCTCAAGTGTCTTCTGGCTCCAGAGTTCCTGATTCCCGGCTGGAGAAAGCAGAAATCCTGGAGATGACGCTCACAATTCCAGTTCACATGCTGTCAATCAAGGCTTCTCCAGGTGTGTCCGTGAGATCCAGAGATGAGATGAAGACACAGAGCCAGAGAAGACTGAAGCTCTTCCAGACATCATGTGATCAGAACAGGAGGGAAAGTGTCGTGCCTCGGCTGAGCCGCTCAGACCAGAACACCTTCAGCAAAGAGATGAAGCTCAACAAGAGCGCCACCTGGAGGCCGTGCTAGATCTTACAGCGACCAGCAGCTCATACTGAACATCTACACTAGACTCAGTGGACTGTGCCGTTTCAGCTTCTCTTTTGGAGAAAAACTTTCATGAGTTCCAGTTTGGAAGAGATATTTGTACTGCAAAGTGCTCTGATGATTCGATCTTCTATGAAGACTCAAGAGATCCTGATGGGAACATATACTGACGTCTATATTAGACAACATTGACCTTTACATTAAATGCATCTTCATGTCATTTTTTAAGACTTTATTATTGTCCTTATCAGGGCTACAAAGATAATATACCTAAGATCACAAGCAAAAACATAGATTTGACCACAAAAATTAATTAGAAACAAATAAAAATTTTTCATTTTTGGGATTGCTTGTTCTCTTTTGTCTTCAGTGAAGACTTTATCAAGGTCATCATGGACTTATGATACAGAATCAACGATTCAATCTGAATTTGCTTTGGTAAAAGCAATGATAAAGATGAAACAATTTCTGTGAAGGAAATATAAACCCTTTTTATTAATCAAACTTTTCAAAGTTAAAGTTTTTCTCTTTTGATTAAAAGGCTACAATAATCATTTTCAGCTTGGAAAAATATTGATACTGTTAAGTACTTTTCTGACTTTGTCTTCCGTGAAGCCACAAGCTGTAATGTGATGCAAATGTACTCAAAAGTCTTTTATAAAGAAGTGCAGTCATTCATGAACCATGTTCTGTTGTAAGTTCCTGTGTGATTTGGAGAATTCTTCAAATGAAATGTTGTGATACGTTATCACTGAATGAATGCAGATATCTAAAAATAAAACAAAAAAACTTCACTATGTTTCCTTATGTTTCCATGTAAACTGAACCTAAACTGACAAAAACACCAATAATAATAGATTAATACTATAAGCATTCGTAAAATATGAATTTTGTTTTAGACAGTTTTATGAACCAAAACACTACCATAGCAAAGTCATGATTAGCAAATATTTTTTTGCATAATTCCCAAACTACATTTTAAAGAGATAGTTTCATGTACAAGGTTAAAACAGCAAGAACTGATCTGTAAGAACTCTATATAGTAGAAAGAAAGTGATGTAATTGTCATGTGATGACTCACACGTCAACATTGGCGAAAAACATGGTAAATGACTAAAGGGATAGACGTATAGGCTGTGTCTCAATTTAAAAGGATATACATACAGACATTAGTTCAGGGAAGTGCCTATGATGCCCAGAAAAGCTGTCTAGTAGATCTGTTCAAACATGGAATGGGGTCAGAGGAAAATTATAAGGATATAAATAGGGATATTCAACAACCGTTTTTGGCCTAATCTAAGTATAATAGAAATCGATACTGTCTGCAGGACACTGATCTGTATCTGCATAGATTCTGAAGTGCTTTTCAACTCGGAGCGTCCCTGAGCGTTCACTACAAAAATAACTTTTACTGCTTATTTACACACTGAAAAATCATATATAGTTACTTTTAAAAGAGCCTCTCATACAAAGCATCTGTGATCTGTGATATCTGTATCTGTCCAGTTTCTGCTTCAACAACTTTATGTTTGTAGCTGAGATCCTTAACCTTTGACCAACCAATACGCCACGTATTAAGGAGAGTCCGGTTTTAGGAACGTTTCTTGTTGCTGTTGATTCCTGCGTTCTGCTGTGCGATGATAAAGTCCAGGATGAGCTGGGCAGATTTCCTCGGCCGCTCCATCACTACAGAATGACCACAGTTGTCTAGCAAATGAACCTGGGATCCTGAAACGGCTTCGGCCAGAACTGAAGCCCCGGACACGTCCAACACCTGTAGGATACGGTATACAGTTTAGTCTTTAATGAGGTCGCAATTTCAATGGTCATTAATGGTGATGAAATGCATTTTTTCAATGGCTGATTCTTAGACTAACAACTACATATGTGATTTCAAACCTTGCAAAGAAAGCAATAGCCTAAAAGCACCATATTATTTTAACTTTGTCACAGTAAGTTTGGAATTGACATCATTTAAATAGACAACTGAGAAAATTCTAGCAGTATCACATCAGTTTCTGTGTGCTTAGTAATGCATCACACATTATAACACATTACAACCCATGACATTTCTTTTTCACAACATGTTTTGTGCCCACATTGCTCAAAATGTTATGGAGTTGAAGGTCAGAACAAATGTAGCAAATTTCATTGCACCACACCCTATTATTAAGATATACTTGTACCTTGTAACTGTTTTGGAGATTTTATGGTTTATAAAACATGTTAATGTGAGTAAAGCATGTGCTATATGATGGCTTTCCACAGTTACTATTCAAGAAACTGTAAAACTAAGGTGTGTTAGTAAAGTAAACATGGAGTGCAACAGTATCCATCCACATTTTCAGTGGCCTTGGTTGCGTAAGTATTTTTCCCATTCATTTTTTTCCCATAAGGATTAAAAAAAAAAAAAAAATGTCTTCATTACAGCATTATAAGCCCTAAACCAAACCAACCAGCTGAATCACCACATATTGAGGCCAAAAGTATTTTAAAATCAGACAAAAAAGGCAAAGGTACAAGACTGTACTTAACCGCTTTCACAAGGAAAAAAACTACAATCCCATGTACCACTGTATGTACACACACACACACACACACACACACACACACACACACACATAGTTTGAGACTGTAGGATGTTATATTGGCATGATTTGTTTGTTTTGATTCTCTGATTGGTGGAGATTTCTCTGAAGAATCATGGGTAATGTAGTTTTTCTCCAGGAATTTTGCTGTTAAACACGATTATTTAAAAGAAAAGTTGAAATTATGTGGACTGATGGTTTTAACAAAAGCTCATACCATAGATTAAAAACCTCATAGCTCACAGTAAGGGCTGTCTTTAAAGGTTTATAAGTTATGTAGAGAAAATGACTGTTGTGAACCTGACTGTTGTGCTCTATTCAGTTAAAGTATGTCCATACCTGGTCGTTTTTTCCCCAAATAACTTGCAGAGGAGTTGAGATGAGATGCATGTTCTCATGTAAAGAGTGTCTGGATTTTTCTCCAACAAGCTCCATAAAACCTGCAGAAAACACTAAGAGTTAATGACAAGATACAGAGAGTAAGTTAAAACAACACCAGCGATACTCACACTCTCGGTAGAAGTCATTGTTTGGGATGCGAACGTCAACCAGACCTTGAAGAATCTAGGAAACCAGAGGAAGAGAAAAACAGTCATTAGCAACTGATTCAGTGTTCAAACTCTCATACGCAGAATCAATGTACATAAACACACCTGTTTAGGAATCTTAAAGCGCACGAAGGAACACAGTCTGAGCATCTCCTCCATCTCCTCCGGTGTGGAGGGAATCAGTGGGATCCCGTCACTGTCCTGACTCTTCTCCAGTTCCCTCAAACGCTGAACAAACTTACTTTCAGTGGGATACTGAAGCCCTGTGAATCCAACAAATGTTTGAGTATAGGCCATCATATTTCAGGGAGAAGCATCATTAAAAAAAAAAAGTCAAACTGAAGTAATCTCTTCTTACAGTTTTTTATCAGTATTCTATTGTTTACACACAGTATAATGGCCTCATCCACATTTTGTTTGGCACAAAGTACATGTCATAAGATATTAACATGATACTTTGGGCCTAACATTGCAAAATAAGATTTCTTGAAAGTTCATAAGGAACCGTTTGCAATTAAAGGATAAAAACAAAAAACATTCCAGTTCCTGACATTTCCTAAGAATTGGCCCTTTGCTCCAAATGTTGAAATGTCCCTTGATGAACTATTACTGACTCTGACCATCAGGATGATAGCAATGTTGAAGAGGTACTGGGTTAGAAACAAAATCAACACACACACACACTAGGACATTCCTTAGGCGTAATGGTTTTTATAATGAGCTAATGACATTTCATAGCCCATAACCGTAAACCCATCACAGGAAACGTTCTGCATTTCTACATTTTCGCTTGTTAGTAACAAATCATATGTTTATTTAGGCATGTCCTCATAATGTAGGGGGGTGGTCAAACCAGTACACACACACACACACACACACACACACAGACCTGCTGGACAGATGAGGGTGACGCCGCAGAGATCAGTCGGGTGACGGGCAGCATAAACTCCTGCTACGTTTCCACCCATAGACGTGCCGATCAAATGGAAAGGCTTTTTCTTCAAGCCGGTGCTCTTCACAAACTACATAAATAGGAAAACATGAGAAAATACAACCAGCTGTTATTAATTATTCTTGGTTATACGAAACATTCCATTTAATCATTAGTATGCGAACATTATGGGAACGTTACATTTGAACGTTCTCTGAACATTCTAAAACAAGTTTGATAACTTTGAACGAACATTCTAATAACATTACTGGAAGAATGTTTGCTCATAATTGAGAGCTTGACAGAACGTTGTTGTTAGCTGGGATACATCTTAGTTGCATGAGGGCGAAGCAACAGAATTCAGAGACCTCATCAAATGTGCACCAGAGATAAAAGTGAGTTATTTTAAATCTGCATCCATCAAAACAAGGACGTCACCCTTCATCTAGCAACAAAACACTCTCTCGGCATCCAGAAAATGCCTCTTTCAGCGCAATCTGCTCATCCGTGCAAATCAGTAACTACCACAAGTTGCTTTAAATGATAGACAACCTCAAATGAGCCGAAATCAATCATGTACGGGCTGAATATTTCAGGCTGGGAAACACAGTCAAGTGCCCCAGGTTTGAAGAAGTGCATCTATTTCAGGCACAAGCCCGTGTTGTTGAAGGAAAGCTGATTAGCTCTGGGAGAAGAATAGAGGAAATGAAGACACAAGGGCTTTTCACTGATCTCAAGATACTTCAGAGAAATCTCAACATGTAAGCCTAATAAATCCACTGTGTCATCATGAGAGATGTATTAGTCTACATACTGTGTGATGTTTAGCCAAAAAGAAAAACTGGGTCAGTGGCTGGGGGTTCATCAAGTTAAAATACATCAACTAAAGTGACAAATTTTAGGAACAGGGACTTTTTCTTTATCGTCTTTGTATGAATTTAAAAGAAATAAGTTAAAATAAAAAAATATTATTATTATTATTATAACTGTTGATATACTTCTTAATACTTCTTGGATATATACATATATATATATATATATATATATAACCTATTTAATTAAAAAATATTATTATTATTGCTACATCCATACATTTTATATATATATACAGGTGAAACTCGAAAAATTATAATATCGAGCAAAAGTTAATTTATTTCAGTAATTCAACTTAACTGGGGAAACTAATATATTATATAGACTCATTACATGCAAAGTGAGATATTTCAAGCCTTTATTTGTTATAATTTTGATGATTATGGGTTACAGCTTATGAAAACCCCAAAGTCAAAATTAGAATATTGTGAAAAGGTTTTCATAAGCTGTACGCCATAATCATCAAAATTATAACAAATAAAGGCTTGAAACATCTCACTTTGCATGTAATGAGTCTATATAATATATTAGTTTAATCTTTTAAGTTGAATTACTGAAATAAATGAACTTTTGCACAATATTCTAATTTTTCGAGTTTCACCTGTATATATATACTTATGTATTTTTGTATATTTTTTAAATGTTTAATATATACATATTTTACCTAATTTTATACGTTTTTTTGTTGTTGTTTTTCACCTGATGTATCCGGTTGACTTGGCCCTCTATGGAATAATCCTCAGCACCGGTGCGTGTCGTACCTTCATGTCCCGGCATGTCCACACACACCAAGTGCACATTTCTAGGGAGAAACTACAAAAAGCAAAGAACATCAGTCAAACATTTCTCTTTTTACTTTATCATCTGATCCATATAAAACAAGGTAATGATTGTGTCAACCGAATATAATACTTTTTGACAGATTTCTAAATCATATCACATAACTGTTCTTTAGAACATGTGATTTGTTGGTTATTGTATGGAAGTGTTTATTAATTTTGAGCATTTTATATGAATTTTTGCCCTTTAAAACCCTGAAAAATTGCATGTTTGAGTTGTGAACTGTTAGCCGCTGCGGTTTCTTGCCTTGACCACGCCGAGCCACATGTCCTTGTGTGCAGAGAATCCGTGTAACATGAGGACAGACGGACGTGCGCCTGGATTCCCTCTGTGAGAGAAACTGAAGCGATATCCTTCATATTCTACATAATCCACCTGCATTCCCAGCCTTCTGCGCCAATACCTGTTGAACAAAGCACCAGAAAGACTTAATAAATCAAAATTACATGAAAATAAAAGGTCTGTAAAATAATGCTGATGGATGCATGTAAAATAGATGGTAATTTCGTGGTAATTTGATATACACAATGGTACTGAAGGTTTAAAGGGGTGGTTGATTATGATTTTACTTTTCTAACTTTAGTTAGTGTGTGATGTTGCTGTTTGAGCATAGACAACATCTGCAAAGTTACGACACTCAAAGTTCAAAGCAAAGGGAGATATTTGCTTTTAAAGAAATAGCTTTTTAAGGACTACAACAAACGGCTGGTAGGGACTACACCACATTCCTCCAGGGTTAGTGACATCACTAACCCTAGAATTTACATAAACCCCGCCCCCTGAACACAATCTATAGATTATCAAGACAGAATATGAGTCTCTTGAGTCTCAATCTTTATCTGATTCCGGTTTGAACATAAAAAGCTAAAAGTTTTTGAAATTTTCAGTGCATGTGTGTGTGTGAGGTAATAGGACACAAGCTGTTGAAGCTCCGCCCCCTGTGCTGAGAGCAGCAGCTCATTTGCATTTAAAGGGACAGACACAAAAACAGAGCGTTTTTGCTCACACCCAAAAAGTGACAATTTTAACATGTTATATAAAAATTTCTGTGGGGTGTTTTGAGCTAAAACTTCACATACACACTCTGGGGACATCAGAGATTTATTTTACATCTTTTGAAAAGGGCATTATACCACCCCTTTAAAATGCTTACATACCATCCATGTTATTTATACATTTTCTGAAGCAAATGCAAGTCAAGTTTGCCGGTGCAAAACTCACAACCATGATGAAAAATAGTTGGAAGGCTGTTGCTTATTTGTCCAAATCACAATTTCCCACCCAACGTATGGCTATCATCTACCGATTTAATCCGATCACATAACAAGACTTGCATGGGGAATCGTTCAAAATGCACTGCGCCTATATTTTAGCAATAGTAATAGTGATGCTTTCAGAGTCAGAGAACACTGTTCATAAGCAATCCAGAAGTGACACTGAAGGAAGCAGTCCAGAGGCAAACAGCAGTTTTGATGACTGTGTCATTTAGAGCAAAGTTTGCCTCCCAGATATTACGAGAACCAAAGTCTACTGGGCAGCTTGCGTAAGATTTAACTGACATCAGCAACAAATGCAGCGCTGCATGTTCACGGCTAATGCACACACACACACACACACACATTCAGCTTCCTGGATGCATAGAAACATCATGCATTATTCAAAGCTAAAGCTATTTGAATCACTGGCACCTTGTAGATATCTGTGACGAGTCAACAAACCCTTCACCCAGTTTAGTAAATAGATAAAAAGAAGAGGGCTGTTAAACGAATCAGATTTAAAGGACGTGCTAAATAATACAAGCCTGAAAATCAGTCGTGAATCCTGAAAGATTAGCCTTTAGATCGTGCCAGAAAACACCCACACTGCAAAAAAAAAAAATTTTCTTACCTAGTGTTTTTGTCTTCTTTTGTTTTTTTTCCAGACATTATCAACTTAAATCAGGATACATTTACTTGAGAAGCAAATTGACTTAAGATATTGATGATCAAAATTAAGAGAGTTTATCCTTAAAACAAGAAGACCAAGTCGGCCCATGGGGTAAGATAGGGTAAGAAGGACAGATATTATTATTGTTTTAAGCATAATTTTATTAAAAATTGATCCTTTTTTTAAAAAAAAACATGACTTAATATTTTGTATATAAAATAAATACTTGAAGTCATTTTTGCTTCTCAAGTAAGTGTATCTTGATTTAAGAATGTTTAGATATGTGTACTGGACAAGACAAAAACAAAATAAGACAAAAATATTAAGTAAGAAAATATTTTTTTGTGTTTGGTGCTGCTAATGACACATAAATAACACCTTGCAACGTTATGTTGTGGATTGGACCCTGTGGTTTGTGTAACTGTAACTGATTGTATTGATAAGGCTTTTAAAATAAACAGAGTGAACATTTTTTCTCGTTTAACGGCAGCACTGTAAGAAATAACAAGTGTTAAACTGCTGAAATTACTCCCCAGAAGAATATCTGAACTGAAAAACCAGGTCATTTGCACATGCTTTTCTTCGGATGCTCTGTATGAATGAGGACTTCTTAGAGAAATTAATTTTAAGCTCAGATCTCTCCAGCACTTACCAGTGATAAACTTTAATGAGAGCTGCAGGCCAGAGCAGGAACGAGGCAACGAAAGCCAGTATGGGGATCGCCAGCGTCCCTCCGGCAATGATGAACATGTTCAACACGTCCAAATCCATCCTGATAAATAACACAGCACTGACAACTCACAGAACACAGCTTTGGTCAGATATAGCTTCTAATAAGTATAACAGATTAGATTATCTAACCATAACTGCAAGATATTTTTAAGCAAGGACAGAAATGGGTTGATGCCCAGATGTGCACAGCTGAGACCAACAGAATCCATTAGCGATGCAAAGGAAATCATTTAGATTTAGATTTAGATTATTAAGAGAAGCATAATTATAATAACATCAGGGTTAAAGACATTTATCTTTATAGATAAATGTACAAAGCCATGGTCAAAATATATGGGCAAATAATGCGATTTTATATAATTATATACATTACATTCAATATATATATATTATTACACACACACACACACACACACACATTTATATATATATATATATATATATATATATATATATATATATATATATATATATATATATATTTATATATATGATAAGCCTTTATTTACTTTCATAGTCCTGAATTATATGTGTATCAATGGTATCAATGTGTATTTAAGTAATACGTATAAATATCGACCGTTAAAACTGAGAAGGGAAGTAAAACAAAACAATATGCATTATTTAGATCACGTGAATTCGAGTAGCAACGCTACGCTTTCATTTTTACTAAAAAGAAGCATGAATTAATAACACTCAGATCTTTGATGCACTTTACATTGACACATTATCGCAATTAAATATTGTAACACAACAGATCTGTCATGTGATCAAAGATCTGAGCTTGAATACACTTCCATGACAGTGAAACGCATTTGATCGCACTATTACATGCAAATGCTCTTTAAATATAGTAAGCATACCTTTAAATGTCCGTGTAATGCAAGAATGTCCAGTAAAGGCCGATCAAAGCCCAGTCATATCAGCCTTTGATCTGCGGAGCTCCAGACGCGCTCACTGAACAACAGGGAAGTTCGCTCGATTTAAAGGGGAATAGATGCGGGAAATAATGTTCCGTCGATAGGAATTATAAGCGAACATCTGTCAGGTGCACATCTGACATCAGAGAATACAGTGGGCGGTAAATTTCGCTGAATAATAACAGTTTCCTGAGACAAACGTCCGTCAGGTGGCGCTCGGCGGCTCACATAACCAAATCCCACATTGAGGCGCATTCAGATTTCAAGGATGACGTCTGGTCTACTGGATACACTTGTCCAAATAAAAGTATAATTAATTAAATAAATTAATATGCCTCTTATACAAAAGAAAATCGGCCAGCAGTCATATCTACGAAATGATGAATTAAAATCCCTTTTCCAGTAACCACAAACGGCTGTGATTGGTTCATCATGATCAGCGTTGAGAAATGTAACAGATATCAACTGACACCGCGCCGTCTGGTCAGTTACTGTCAAAAGCGGTCTCCTGAATAATTATAATACTGATTAAATTTAATTATCCTTGATTTGAATAATAGATGTTGAAAAGTTAAAAAATGTTAAGCCAATATAAATATATATTTTTAATCTATCCGCTCATCGCGTTTCACTGGAAAACGCTCTTATTTAAAGGGGAATACACACGGGGAAAATAAAATGTCGTTTAAAATTAGTTAACTTATGTCAGCTGCACAACCTGCGTCTCAGAACGGAAAGAACACGTATAACTCAGGGTTTTTCAAGAAACCTAAAGCATAATTATGAAACTATTTTTTGTTGTTTTTGCTGCGGTCACTTTAAGAAATGTACCTGGCGCATATGTACGCACAGCTGCCTGCGATGGCCGCTACTTCCAGCGATCGAGCCTGTACGATTGAGTTGCTGTCCTCGTTTTTTAAAAAATGTTTCTGTACTCACAAACAGTTTTCTGGCAAAAAAATAAAATAAGACAAATGGCCACACTCAGCTGAAGGTCCGGTGGTATTGTCCAGCCTCAGGCCTCTCTATAGAGCAGTGGAGGGAGAATGTACAGGGAGGACCTTGATTTTGTTTTAAATTGGTGTATATCGTATTTATGCATATAGTTATGTTTTCATATAGTTGTTTTCTATATTTGTATATAGTTCAGTTTATAATTATGTTTGCTGTACTGTGAACATTTTGTTTTTAGTTGCTGTGTTTGCAGTGCTGGTGGTGTAAACACAACTCATGTGGTGTAATAGTAACACATTCATCCTTTGGGTGAAAGATTCCAGGTGCAAGTCCTGGCAAGAGTGTGTGGTGTGTTTGTCAGATCAGTATTTTTAGTTTTAAATGGTACTTTTAAATAGTCAAAAAACAATTAAACCCTTTATTTAAATCCTCTGTGAGTGTTCATTCAGTTTGATGGATTTTTTTCATCTTCTCTCCTTCTCTCCCCCCTTCTCCTCTCTTTCCCCTTTCTTTTCCCTTTCTTTCCCCCTCATAGCAGTCCATTTTGCCCCATTTTTGGCCGAGTGGTTAAGGTGTTGGACTTGAAATCCAATGGGGTCTCCCCACCCAGGTTCGAACCCTGCTCGCAGCGATGGACTATGTCTTTAATCAAAACTGGATCTATAAAAAAAATCCAAAACGACTCTAAGTGAAGGTTGGTGCTGAATTCGGGAAGAAGGCAGGGATCTATCAATAGGCTGTTTATTTGGGTATGACATGACATTTCAAGCATGACTTCACCAGTGCATCTGGCATATTAATAATTTTTCAGTAACTGTTGTTCCTATAAATAGCCTACTTAGAGATACAATCACATCTATTTATAGCTAGATATTAAATAAAACAGCCAATTTTAAAACCAATTTCATAATACATAAAGTTTGACTTTAAATGCAGGCAATGAAACATTTCAAAGCAGACAATTTGGCTACTAAATTTTTAATTTACCGGCCATTCTGAACTTCAAAATCAATCACTGCTTAAATTTGATTGTATATCATAAAATAGATTATTTATATATTTATTATTGAATTATTAATATTATTAAACAAGGAATCATTGAATAGCCTTTAGATTTACAACCACCAAAATAAAATAAGACACTCTCCTGGTTGGAGGATTTATCAATAATTTATTAATCATAACCTGCCAAATTAGCTAGTGAGTTGATATGGGCTACCCTACCACCACAGTTAATGTTAATTTCAAACCCTTTTTATATGAAAATTATATTATTTAAATGATTGATTGCCTCAAGCACAAAACCATCTTTAAATAGAAGAGAAATAACACGTATTAAACCAGGAATCTGTTCCTGTTGCCAGAATGCAGAGTGGTGGCCATCAGATAAGCTCAGGAAGTGTTCGGTCGGTTGCAGTATAAATGAAGGAAGTTCCCAGAAGTCCGTGTTGTTTGAGCTGTGAGATGTTGAGCGCTCTGATCCTGCTGACCCTCGGAGGAGCCGTCGGTCTCCACGTCTGCTCCTTCAACATACAGTCGTTCGGGGAGAGTAAAGTCTCCAGACCTGATGTGCTGGACATCATAGTGCAGGTCAGCCTTGTATTTATTTGTGCATGCTATTTAATAATTAACACAAATGCTTTGATGCTATTCTAAATGTATTGCATAATGCTTTAAATTGCATTTTGTTCGAATGCATAATAAACATATGGAAAAACACTCACTAAAGGACTTGGCCGCAGTCCCACTCTACGAAAATGTCAATCCAGTGCAGATCAGATAACATTGTGTTACTAAACGTCGTCTAATGTTGTTATAAACTTTAGTGACATTGTTTCACAATGTGTCAAGGCAGGAGAACACAGAAGAACAAGACATTTTGTCATTCTCAATGTTTTTGGGAACACACGAATGTTCAGATATTCCAAGGTCACCAAAAGTTCAGATTCTGGCGACTGCAAGGGCACACGCTCTTAAAAATACAGCTTCTTTATAACACTTTACTTGAAGGGGTGTGCATAAGACTGACATGACACCCTCATAATCATGACACGTCATTAATATGATGGAGGTTTCATGCATGTTTATGACAACTGTCATTAAGTGTCATTCACTCAATCATGTCATTTTGAATGCAAATATGACATTGTTTGAGATGTCTTGGTATGACAACTTGACATAAACCAATACATCATAACCTGCAGTGTCTTTGTCATGACAACTTGACATTACTAAGACAACACAACCTGTCATAAACATGATATAGCAGATTAATTATCAAACTTGAGAAACCACTTAGCTTTATGGGTTAACATTACATTAAACTGTCAGGTGGTTGGTGTTGACATTGGCTGTCATGAGGCATTATAACTGTGTCATGAATATTTTTCTTGACCTCAACTACAGTGATACACATTGAATTTGTCATTAAAATGTTATAATGATCTCATGACAGCCAATGTCAAAACCAACCACATGACAGTTTAATGTAATGTTAACCCATGAAGCTAAGTGGTTTCTAAAGTTTGATAATTAATCTGCTATATCATGTTTATGACAGGTTGTGTTGTCTTAGTAATGTCAAGTTGTCATGACAAAGACACTGCAGGTTATGATGTATTGGTTTATGTCAAGGTGTCATTACCAAGACATCTCAAGCAATGTCATATTTGCATTCAAAATGTCATAATTGAGCGAATGACACTTAACGACAGTTGTCATAAACATGCATGAAACCTCATGTGTCATGTCATGATTATGAAGGTGTCATGTCAGTCTTATGCACACCCCTTCAAGTAAAGTGTTACCAAATGTTCTTTATAGTGGAAAAAGATTCTTTGGAATTTTCAAATGTTCTTCACACTCAGAAAACCGGTTCTTTTAGGAACGATTCCCTGAAAGGTTCTTTGAGGAACACAAAATCTCATCCCCTTTACTTTGAAGTGTGAATTTACTGTATATGTGCAAAGAGTGCTGAATTTAAACCAATCCGTGCAGATCATCAGTCGCTGTGACCTCATGCTCATCCTGGAGATCAAAGATGTGAAAGGAAAAGCGTTTGATCAACTCATGACTCACCTGAACAGGTACACACACTTCTGCTCACATCTAGACCTTATGTAGCCACGCCCCTTCTCCGCGCTGAGCTCATTGTCCTTTGACTTCCGGTCTGTATTTTCACAGCGATCTTGCGTAGTTATGAACGAACGGCTCGTTAAAAAAATTCCCAAGGTCCATTTGTTAAGAAGACATATGCTTTACAATGCTTATCATAAACAGTACAATGCTCATGATAACTTTCGTTAACTCTACAATAAGTAAATCAACTTCACCAGCTAAATACTCCTGGACAGCGATGCCATAGAAATAATACAGAGCGACCGCAAAAACGGAAGTTCAAAGACAATATTCTAAAGATGGCGGCGCGCTTGTTTCTCTGGTGCATAAGGTCTATAACATCAGATGAGATCATAAAGCCTGGATGAATACAGGAAAATGACAAACAAAACGATATTTTTGTGTGTGTTGTCCCTCACAGCAGGTCCAGGACACGAGCACATACATTTAGCTCTGTTATTAGCGAAAGACTCGGGAGGAAAACATACAAGGAGCAGTATGCCTTCATTTACAGGCATGTGGGATTTATGAAGAAATATTTCATAATTATTAATGTTGTTTTGCATGCAAAAACAGATATATTAATTCAGCTGAAGGAATGCATATGTGGTTTGATGTATTTCTATACATTTAGGTATTAAACAACATACAGTATATTATGTATACAATTAATAATTTTGCTCTGAAGCCATTTTTTTCAGTGCTGAACTGCAAAAGCGAAATAAGCGTTTATTAGCTGTACAAAAAATGTAATTAATAAAGTCAAAGTAATGAAACATGTTAGAGTAAGTACGCCAAGTGAAAACACAAACTCTGTTGCTTTATATCAAACCATCTGCCGAATGCATTTATAATAAAATCAGAGTGCAATAATAATGTAGTTGTGATCATATCAGGCAGAAGATGCTGACTGTGAAAGCCGTCTATCAGTATCCAGACACACAAAGCGGAGATGAAGATGCTTTTGCTCGAGAACCGTTTGTCGTGTGGTTCTCAGCTCCAAACACTGGTGAGACAGAAGAAGAACCTCTGACCTCCGTAAAGAAGAGGAAGAAATTATGACCAGCATGTTTATGTCTGTCTTACAACAGAAATCAAGGATTTTGTCATCATTCCTATTCATACGGTCCCAGAAGCCGCTGTGAAAGAAATCGACGAACTGTATGATGTTTATCAGAATATTTCACAGATGTGGCGATCTGACGTAAGAGTTTGCATGTTATGTTATGTTCCCTGACTAACAGATCAACTCTTTTGTAGTTATTGTAGTACTTTATTGTTCAGCCTTAGCTGTAAATTGGTCTTTGGTCTCGTCATACAATCACAAAACAATTAACAATACGCAAAATCTACATCTCCACACACTCACAATATCAAAGCTTCAAATATTCACATTTCCATTCCTCTTATTCAATTTGTTATTGCATTTGGTGAAAAACGTTTGTTTATATATTGCTTTTACTGTTCTATAACGACAACAGCGTATTCTCCTTTTGGGGGAATATGGTGTGTAATAGTGTCAGAGATCCACACACCTGGTTTCTGTGAGGTCCTGTTCCTCACTCAGTTTCATCTTGTGTCAGAACTTCATCATCATGGGAGATTTCAACGCCGCCTGCGGTTACGTTCCCAAGAGGCAGTGGATGAACATCCGTCTGCGCTCGGAGAGAGAGTTTGTGTGGCTGACGGATGACAGTCTGGACACGTCAGTGAAGACCTCCACCAACTGTGCTTATGACAGGTCTGCAGAGTTATTTACTTGATAAAACTGTATTTTACTCTAAATATGACATATATGACTGTTTATGCCAAGAATCGACCTGAAACAACATTCAGATTTCAGGGTCAGGTCGGGGTCAACCTTTCATTTTATGGGTTGTTCATGCGCACTAGAAAAAGTTTTTTTTGTTTTTTGCAGTGATGGATTATAGATTAGATCATTGATTGGAACATAGTTTTTTGGTTCCCCAAAGTTTTTTCTGTTCTTGTGTAATGTAAAGGTTATATGGGTGTTACATGTTTTTCATGGAACCACCGATGCCAATAAAGAACCTTTTTTTTTAAGAGCATATGTATTTAGACTTATGTATTATGTTTGTTTGACAAGAACTTTGAAGAACTTTGAACTTTGACAAGGACATTTGGGTAGTTTAATGGTTAAGGATCTGATCTTATCACATACATGTTAAGAATAAAAGCATCAGCTAAATGGCAAAATAAGAAAGAGTGTACCGGTATTATGATTTGATGTATTTGGTATACTGTCTAGAGTCTAATATATGAAAGTGTAAAAACTGGGTTTGGTTGGAGCAATAACCATGTGGACGCACTGCAAAAACAATTCTTACTTAGTATTTATTTTCTTGTTTTGCATTTTGTTTGTGTTACAAATATCTAAACATGTTTAAATCAAGATTACTTGAGAAGCAAAATGACTTGAGATATAGTGAGTTCATGCCTAAAACAAGAAACTAAATGTTCACGGGTCAAGAAAAATAAACTTATTTCAAAGTGAAAAGATTATTTTTCTTGCCCTGTGGACAGATTTATTTTCATGTTTTTAGAATATACAAAAAAAAAAATCGTAAGTAATTTTGAAGCAAGTTTGAGTCCCGGGTCGTGGTCCTTTCCCAACCCCTCTTCCCTCTCTCTCCTCTTCCATCGCTTCCTGACACCTCTCTTCATTTCTATCATAATAAAGGCATAAATGGTTGAAAATACAGCTTTAAAAGCCTGAGTTTGATGAATCTGTCCCACTCCTCCCCAGGGTTGTCCTCCGCGGAGAGAAGATGATTGCGGCTGTGAATCCTGAATCAGTGGAGGTCTTCAACTTTAAAGATGAGTTTGGCCTCACCGAGCAGGAGGTAAATATAATCTACAAAACCATGTAAATGGTAGATACATGTAATTATTAAATAACAATGTCACTGAAGTATTATGTTTTCTAGAAGAAAATCAAGCAAACTGACAAATTAGCAAGATTATCGAGATTAAGGGAGACTGGGGCAAGTTGTCACACGGCTACATCTTATACAAAGATATTAATGAAACAGCATTAAATGCAAATGCACTATATTGCCAAAAGTATTGGGACACCCCTCAAAATCATTGAATTCCCGTTCCACTCACTTCCACGGTGATTGGAGGTTGCCACCTGTGCAATAAGTCCATTAGTGAAATTTCCTCACTACTAAATATTCCACTGTCAACTGTTCACAAGCAATAGCTTGTTTTCATATGACGTCACGCCACTGCGTTGCCATGGCGCGAAATGCAAATGGAGGGCAGGAAGTGATTTGCTGTATTTAGAAAGCACTATAACAAACTCAAAATGCCTATGTTTTGCGTCGTTTATGGTTACTTAAATCGATCAAACCACGAGGAGTTTTTATCGTGTACCAAAAGTTGTTGTTCATAAAGGGGGAAAATGCAAGAAATTGACCGAAAAACTCCGGAAAAACGGCTTGCAAACCTACGTCTGCGGTCGGGAGGAGCCGAATGGGAAAATGCCCGTTTGTGCAGTGATCACTTCGTCAATGGTGAGTTAATACAACTTAAGTGGCTATGTTTGAGTAACGTGTAACATTTACGAACTTTGTAAAGTCAAAGTATGTCTGTAAGACGAGGTAGTTGCTGATATCTACCGCCTCGATGGCAGGAAAATCTTTCAATTCAGTTGAAAATCGCTCCTCTTCATAACGTAAGGATCACGTCCAACATATGTTTGATTTTTTGTTTATATCTTTCTCTTGTAATAGCGTGTAAAGTAGTACAGTACGGACTTTCCTCCATCTCGTCCATTGCGCTCTTCACTCCCCTGCCCTCCATCTGAATTTCGCGCGTCATCATAATCACGTGACTGAAACCCAGCTATTGGGAACAACAGCAACTCATCCATGAACTGGTCGGTAAGATCACAGAGCGGGGTCAGCGCATGCTAAACGCTCACAGTGCGCAGAAGTCACCAATTTTCTGCAGAGTCAATAGCTACAGACCTCCAAACTTCATGTGGCCTTCAGATTAGCTCAAGAACAGTGCGTAGAGAGCTTCGTGGAACGGGTTTCCATGGCCGAGTAGCTGGTGTAAAGCGTGGGATGCAGTGGTGTGAAGCACGCCTCCACTGGACTCTAGAGCAGTGAGACCTGTTCTCTGGAGTGATGAATCACACTTCTCTGTCTGGCAATCCAATGGATGAGTCTGGGTTTGGCGGTTGCCTGGAGAACGGGACTTGCCTGACTGCATTGTGCCAAGTGTAAAGTTTGGTGGAGGGGGGGTTATGGTGCGGGGTTGTTTTTCATGGGTTGGGCTTGGCCTCTTAGTTCCAGTGAAAGGAACTCTTAATGCTTCAGCATACCAAGACATTTTGGACAATTTCATGCTCCCAACTTTGTGGGAACAGTTTGGGGATGTTCCTTTTCCAACATAACTGCACACCAGTGCACAAAGCAAGGGCCATAAAGACATGGATTAGCGAGTTTGGTGTGGAGGAACTGGACTGGCCCGATAGAACAGCTTTGGGATGAATTAGAGTGAGACTGCGAGCCAGGCCTTCTCGTCCAACATCAGTGCCTGACCTCACAAATCCACTTCTAGAAGAATGGTCAAAAATTCCCATAACACACTCCTAAACCTTGTGGATAGCCTTCCCAGAAGAGCTGAAGCTGTTATAGCTGAAAGGGTGGACCAACTCCACATTAAACCCTACGGATTAAGAACTGGATGTCATTAAAGTTCATGTGCATGTAAAGGCAGACGTCCCAAAATTTTGCCAATATAGTTTACAGGTATGTTATAGACTCTAGCTTAAAATAGTATTAATAAACAGTTCTTATGACAACATGCCCCACGCTATAGAGCCGACCCTGAGAAATATTCACTAGAGTAAAATGTGTGACAACTTGCCCCAGTATCCCTTACAGGAAAGCAAAGAAAACACTAACAGCTGTCTGTCTCTCTACCTGTCTGTCTGTCTCTCTATCTGTCTGTGTGTCTGTCTCTCTATCTATCTGTCTGTGTGTGTGTCTGTCTGTCTCTCTACCTGTCTGTCTGTCTCTCTACCTGTCTGTCTGTCTCTCTATCTGTCTGTCTCTCTATCTGTCTGTCTGTGTGTCTGTCTCTCTATCTATCTGTGTGTCTGTCTCTCTATCTATCTGTCTGTGTGTGTGTCTGTCTGTCTCTCTACCTGTCTGTCTCTCTATCTATCTGTCTGTGTGTGTGTGTCTGTCTGTCTGTCTCTCTATCTGTCTGTCTATCTGTCTGTCTATCTGTGTCTGTCTCTCTATCTGTCTGTCTCTATCTATCTGTCTGTCTCTCTATCTATCTGTCTGTGTGTCTGTCTGTCTCTATTCAATTCAATTCAATTCAATTCAAATTGCTTTATTGGCATGACTGTATATATGACAATATTGCCAAAGCTTGGAATACATAGGAAAATTATAAAGACATCAACATACTTGAATATTATAACATAAATTAAATTTAAATGTACAAATTAAATTAATTGTACAAGTGAACAGTGTAACAGATTAGAATATCTGTGAACATTTTGATACCACAGTGTTTTAACATACATAAACACACACACACACATTACTGAAGTCACTGTGGTGGGCAGTAGGGAAACACCCTGAGGTCACACACACACATACACACACACACACACACACACACACACACACACACACACACACATTCACCTGCTGTCTCTCAGGCTGTGGCACACATACACGTATCTGGCAGCCAGTGTTGCGGTCTGTCCCTCTCCTAGTAGGATCTTTATCTGTTCTACTTCAGTCATGGCTGTAAAGCCCTGTATTAAGTTATTAATTTTATTGAAGTAGAGGTCTCTGACTGAGCTGTGTCTGTGACAGTGAAGGAGGAAGTGTGTCTCTGTCTCGATCTCTCCTGTCCTACACTGAACACACACCCTTTGCTCTCGGGGTAACCAGCTCTTTCTGTGTCTGCCGGTCTCGATGGCGAGACTGTGTTCACTCAGCCTGTACTTGCTCAGGATCCGTCTCTGCTTTGTGTCTCTCACACTCTGGAGATATTCTTCCATTTCATAATTTGATTTCAGATTTCGATAGAATTGTAATTTACTTTGTGTTTTGGTTTCCTGATCCCAATGTTCCAGATATGTATTTTTAGACTGTTTGATAATTTGGTTTATTCTGATGTGTGTGTGAGGAGCAGAGCTGGTCTGAGACTGGTTAGTGTTAGTAGGGTTAGTCGGGTTAGTGAGTCTCAGGACCAGCTGACTGAGGAGACTCTTTTCGGGGTTCAGTTCTTGGGTTTGTAATGCTTTAAAATGTAGCGATTCTGTGGGACTTGATTTTAGATGCATCCAGAATTTGAGGGATCTTTTTTGTATATCAATCATCGATGGGAATCGGCCTAATTCTGCCCTACATGCATTATTGGGTGTTTTTCTTTGTAGTTTTAGTATCATCTTGCAGAATTCTGTGTGTAGGGCTTCTGTTGGATGTCTGTCCCATCTAGTGTAGCTCTGATCACTGAGTGGACCCCAAACCTCACTTCCATACAGCGCAATGGGCTGGATTACACTATCAAAGATTTTACACCAGATTGGAATCGGTAATTCAGTGTTTTGGAATTTCTTCTTAATTGCATATAGAGCTCTTCGAGCTTTATCTTTAAGAGCATTCACTGCCATACTGAAACTCCCCGATGCAGTGATGACCAGGCCGAGGTAAGTGTACTGCATCGTGTGCTCTAGGCCGGTGCTGCCTAGACTGAACTGGTATCTGTGTTCCTGACATCTGGGCTTCTTCTGAAAGACCATAATGTTGGTCTTTGTGAGGTTGACTGCCAGGGCCCAGTTCTGGCAGTAGTTGTGCAGCAGGTCCAGGTGCTGCTGTAGTCCCTGTGCAGTGGGTGACAGCAGCACCAGGTCGTCTGCGTACAGCAAGAGCTTGATGCTCCTGTCCTGTAGAGTGAGTCCAGGGCCTGTAGACTGCTCCAGCTGCACCGCTAGCTCATTAATGTAGATGTTGAACAGCGTTGGACTCAGGCTACAGCCCTGCCGCACTCCTCTTTTCTGGGTGAAGAATTCTGTATGTTTGTTGCCAATTCGTATTGCACATTTGTTGTTCGAATACATTGATTTTATAATGTCATAGACTTTACCCCCTACACCACTTTGTAAAAGTTTATAATATAATCTGTTGTGCCAAATAGAATCAAATGCTTTTTTGAAATCGACAAAGCATGCAAATATTTTTCCATTTTTGGTCTGTTTTACGTGTTTATCGATTAGGGTGTGTAGGGTGTAAATGTGGTCGGTAGTTCTGTGATTTGGAACGAAGCCAATCTGACTCGAGCTCAGGACATTGTGTTCGTTAAGGAAGCTTACAATTCTATTGTTTAAAATACTGCTAAATAACTTCCCCAGATTACTGCTCACACAAATGCCTCTGAAATTATTAGGATCCAATTTATTTCCACTCTTATGGATTGGGGTAATGAGTCCTTGGCTCCAGATGTCAGGAAAACAGCCTGAACGGAGTACGGTGTTGAATAGTTTGAGCAGCGCCGCCTGCAGCTCCGGTGTGCTGTGTTTCAGCATCTCTCCTAGAATGCTGTCAGGACCACAAGATTTATTACCTTTTTGGCTTTTGAGTTTGTTTGCCAATTCTTCATGTGTAATTGGGAAGTCAAGTGGATTTTGATTATTTTTAATTGTCTCTTCATAGGTTTGTAGATTTTGTTTGGTCAGATTATAATTATCATTGAGTTGGTTTGATGGGATTTCTTTATATAAGTTTTCAAAATGATTTGTCCAAATTTCTCCGTCTTGTATTGGTAGGTCTTGTGGTTTTGCCGTGCTCAGATTATTCCACATATCCCAGAACTGATTATGATTTATTGAATTTTCTAATTCTTGTATACTTTTGGTCAGATGGTGTTGCTTCTTTGCTCTAATTTTGTCTTTATATATTTTTAGTTTTGAAAAGTATCTTTGTCTGTCTCTATCTATCTATCTATCTGTCTGTGTGTCTCTGTCTCTCTATCTATCTGTCTGTCTGTTTCTCTATCTATCTATCTATCTATCTATCTATCTATCTATCTATCTATCTGTCTGTCTGTCTGTCTCTCTATCTGTCTGTCTGTCTGTCTGTCTCTCTATCTGTCTGTCTCTATCTATCTGTCTGTCTCTCTATCTATCTGTCTGTGTGTCTGTCTGTCTGTCTCTATCTATCTATCTATCTATCTATCTATCTATCTATCTATCTATCTATCTATCTATCTATCTGTCTGTCTGTCTCTCTATCTATCTGTCTGTGTGTCTCTGTCTCTCTATCTATCTGTCTGTCTGTTTCTCTATCTATCTATCTATCTATCTATCTATCTGTCTGTCTGTCTCTCTATCTGTCTGTCTGTCTGTCTGTCTCTCTATCTGTCTGTCTCTATCTATCTGTCTGTCTCTCTATCTATCTGTCTGTGTGTCTGTCTGTCTGTCTCTATCTATCTATCTATCTATCTATCTATCTATCTATCTATCTATCTATCTGTCTGTCTGTCTCTCTATCTATCTGTCTGTGTGTCTCTGTCTCTCTATCTATCTGTCTGTCTGTTTCTCTATCTATCTATCTATCTATCTATCTATCTATCTATCTATCTATCTATCTATCTATCTATCTATCTATCTATCTATCTATCTATCTATCTATCTATCTATCTATCTGTCTGTCTGTCTGTCTGTCTGTCTCTCTATCTGTCTGTCTGTCTTATTCAAGATTCAAATAGCTTTATTGGCATGGTGAAAGAAATCTTTACATTGCCAAAGCATTCATAACACTATACAATACAAACAAATAAATAAATAAGTTTTTACATGAAAATAAACAGCAATAAAAATCTTCCATCTTCTAACTGTCTGTCTGTCTCTCTATCTGTCTGTCTGTCTGTCTGTCTCTCTATCTGTCTGTCTGTCTGTCTCTCTATCTATCTGTCTGTCTGTTTCAGGCTCTGGCAGTGAGTGATCATTTCCCGCTCTGCTTCACTGTGACTCGAGCACAGAGGAGAGGATGACAACATTCTCACTTTACTCTTTTCCCGCTCGTCTGCTTCATTAGTGCTACAGAAGAGAATGAAGAACAGCTTATTATAAAGTGAAGCGGTTCAAACATAATCAGAGACGCAGAAAGTGAGAGTTCAGCACTTCAGAAGAAGAACAGAAATGCTTCACTGAAAGATGAAGAAGAGCTTCCAGTGCTTGTTAATTATGAACCAGCGTCTGCAGTGTTGGTTTACCAGTTGCTATGAGACCGTAGAGTTAGTTTGCAAAGCTGTTACACATTTAACCCATCCACATTTCTCCACTGATTAACTGTAAAAGAGGTTTATTGACATTTGCATGTTCTATAACAGCCTTTTACAATAAATGTTTTATCAAATGATTTCAAATCGTAGGGAATTACACCATGTATTGATAATGCATATGCTTAGACAGAAAATATATGATTTCATTTACAGTATATACAGATTTACTTCAGAAAATGCTTGGATTGAAGGCGTTGAGGTGGATTGAGTGCGTTTCATCCGAGCTGATCCGTCACTGTGGGAATATTAAAAATGCCATTCCTGGCGTAGAAAGTGTTGCGTACAATCCCAGATCTCCCGCTGGCTGGAGTCTTACAGTCAGTCTCATAGTCTCCTGAGGAAACAACGGGTTTAGTGCTCGATGGAGGAAGAGTTTCACAATGACATGTAGCCATTATTGTTAATATTTTACTCTTTAATATTTCATATTCAGGAGGATTAACCATTTTACTAATATACTACTAACAATATTTGGTTTTATACACAACTTTTCAAGTTTTTTTTAAAAAAAGTACTGCTTTTATTCAGCAAGGATGCATTAAATACATTAATACTTTCTATTCATCAAAGAATCCTAAAAAAATATATACTGTATATAACTAATTTTTGATATTGATAATATCAGAAATTCCTGAGCATCAAATCCTCATATTAGAGTGATTTCTGAAGGATCATGTGACACTGAAGACTAGACTAAGGATGCTGAAAATTCAGCTTTGATCACAGGAATAAATTACATTTTTACAATATTTTCACATAGATTTTTTTTTTTTTTTTTACATTGTAATAATATTTCACATTATTTCTGTTTTACTGTATTTTTTTTATCAAATAAATGCAGCCTTGGTGAGCAGAAGAGACTTCTTTTGAAAAACATTACCATCCCTAAACTTTTGAAAAGTGTCACAATACAAACAGGAATTTATCCTAAATACAAAAAGATAATTACTAAAATATTAATCATCATTAGTGGGGTTTACAAAAAGCATCACGTTTACTACTGCTGAAAGGTTTGTTGAAATCCTCAACTCTACAATATTAAACTTTGGTTCACATTTTTTTCAATTTTTCCCACTTTTTACTCACCTAATCTCCATCCATAATCCCAAGACGAGAGAATAGGATAATCAAACTTTTCTTCAGGGCCTTTTTGGGCTCGCTTCCTCAGGTACAGGTGTCGTCCTTTGCCTTCGTTGGACAATCCCTGATAAAGATCAGCTTTAGTCTGCGGGGTCACGGGCCTCATCAGAGGGGCTTCGCTGAGGGATCGGCGCACTATCACAGGCTTCTTCTCCGGCTTCTGAACCACAGGGGGTAGTGTGAGTTTACTGGCAGCTGGAGGGTTAAAAACACCTGTGGACTTGGACCTGCGAGCCGTGAAGGTTGTCGGGTATTCTTCACTGTACTTCATCTTCCACGCCAGCCGTGTGTAAGCCTCCTTCAGGATCAGCTCACGGTAGAAGTTCTGGTCCTGGGTGGTCAGCAGGTTCCTCATGTCTCTGACTGATTAACGGGACAGTGAGGCCACAGAAACATAAGAGGTGCAGAGCTGACCAATCAGGGGAAAGATCACTCAGAGGACAGAGGAGAGGCATTATAAACACACACACACACACACACACTGAATGTGCTGGACAGGAGAACAAAAGAGACTCTGCTGAGCGCCAGAGCAAAGGGAATCAGTTTCAGCAGAGAAAGAGTCACATACAGAAGGCATGAAAAACAATAGGGTCTCAGAGTAGAAATGCTGAAACTAAGGGACCATTTACACGACAAGTTTTGTTTTCAACTAAAAAGGGGGAAAAAAATCTATGCGTTTTGGCTATTCATTTACATGACAACGCGTTTTGGGGGGCCTGAAAACGCAAACTTTTGAAAACAGGTTTCAAAGCAAGTTTTTGAAAACGAAACTGTTATCGTCTCCGTGTAAACTACTAAAACCGTGACGCGAGGTCATGCGCATGCGCATTTCGTGTTCAGTCAATAGACGCATCGAGACCATGATCGAGACGTATGTATGTTTCTCTATAAAATGACATTTTCAACTATTGGCCTGGCATGAACAATACAGCGTTTTTAGTCGTTTTCGGTGTGAACAAGGTTCGTTTTGACAACGTTGTCATACACGAAAATCACAAAGGAAAAACGTTTCCATTTTTAGTACATCTTTGTCATGTAAATTTACCCTAAGCTGGTTTATGATGGTCTCTTCCAACACAAACAGATGAAAAGTGCCCCAAAACCAGTAAACAGAGCAGCTAGACCAGTAAACTAGCGTAGGCTGGTTTCAGTCGTATTTTAGGCTAGCTTTCGCCGCCTGACCTAATCCTTTAATCAGGAGCTGTAATGCTTAAATCTGTCCTGAAGGTGGCAGCAGAACGTTTCTGGACATTACAGGCCTCGTCTACAAGACTACAAACTCTCAAACCCACTGCAAACAGACACAAAGCACTCCCCCCTGCCATGTAGACTAATTTAATTTAAAATAAAGGCCGTTACATAATTTCCAAGACAATAACAAGAAAATTCTTCAAAACGGAATAAATCGGCACAGAGCTGAAAGGACTTACTGATCACAATCAATGACTTCTTCCTGAGCTAATCCTGACTAAAAGCACAACAATGAATAATGCGCACGACCTTTGGAACTATAAATATGCTTGTTCATTTGGCAATACATTTGCTGTACTGTATACAGGGTCATTTCTATGGTAACAACAGATAGATCAAGGTGGCCCATTCACTTCCTGTTAGTGTGAGTCTAAACACGACACACAGTTAAAGGAACAGTTCACCGAAAAAAGACATTATCATTTACTACCTCTCACGTAAATAACTAGACATTGTAGATTCTGAATTCTTTATTCCAGTCAATTTTAATAAGCAAATGTACATCAAATCTACTTGCGTGTTTCACAATAAGGCACCAATGGCTAAATACAAAATACGCCCCTCGCCACTTACAAAATACTTCACCACTGGAGTATCAAAACTAGTAGAATTTAGACAAACATGAACGTCTGAAGAATGAAAAAGAGTTCTGCATAAATCTATTAGTTACATTTGCATATTAGTGTCTTCAAAAAGCAAGAAAATCTGATAAAGTGTGAAAATACTGGGTCTTTTGGTCTTGAGGGCTCTGCAAGTCTAAGATCTTGATATACAGAAATTGTTTTATGTTACATCTTTATTTATTTCCCTTTTGTCTCTAAACTGTTCAATATGTCGCAGTGAAACCATTGAGATGTATACAGATGTGCTTGATTTGAAGAGATGGATGATGCTTTGATTTATGAGTAAATAAACATCACAGCTCAGTTTATACAGTGAGAATCGAACACACATGGAAATGTTATAATATGCAAATTAAAAGTGACAGTATGTTAGAAACAGACGAACAATTAGAGTCAATATCAGTAGTAAAGAGACGTTAGGGTGTGAAACCCTGATCAGTTTGTTCATACACGGTCATTTCAACTTTATCACTCAACCTTAAACTTATTATGCTGAGCGAATTCGACAAACAGAAGAAATGTACAATTCATGCATCATAACAACATGCTGTCAACGTTACCGTCATAATGCATCACATTCCAGTCAAAAACCTGATCAAGTGCAAACAAAATTAAGAAGGTCTGAATGATTCGTTCACTAACGCCTTCTATTTATTTTTTTTACAGTGTCTTTCTCTCTCTCTCTCTCTCAGGAGTGTTTTGGGTTTAACCGCAGGGAATTATGGGACAGTGACTTGGAAGGGGGAGCCTGGGATGTGTTCGTCTCCCCATTTGACAGCCAGAATGTAGTTGCCCCGCTCCTTTAAGATGTAGCTGATATTGTACTGCATGTTTCCTGTGTGTTTCACCAAGATCTCCTCACAGGGCGTCAGAGGACCGTGAACACCGACCAGGAGCATGTTCTTCCCTGGTAAACAAAGATGAAAAAAATTAAAAATGCATGCAACTAAATGTAAAACTATTAGAGGGTCTAAAAACACACACATACTTAACTAATATTATTACTACTACAATAACATTAAAAAAAACTATATTGTAAATATATTAACTATTATAGTAGAGTGGTTTCAAAATAATATGATGATAAAATAAGGTATATATACAAAATTATTATTAACAGTAACTGCAATAAAAATAACAATAAAATAAATATAAATAAAATGCATTTAATAATAATAAAAATAATAATAAACAATACAATATAACAAAAGTATTATTAATAACAAAATTACATATATAATGTATTAAATTAATAATAAAAATAACAATAAGTTACACACATTTGTGTGATTTAATGTTATTTTTCTTATTAATTGATTACATACACACACACATATAATAAAATGTATATATATATATATATATATATATATATATATATATATAATACACACACACATAATATATATATATATATATACACACACTACCGTTCGAAAAGTTTGGGGTCAGTACGATTTTAAATACTTTTAAAAGAATTCTCTTCTGCTAACCATGGCTGCGCTTATTTGATTAAAAATACAACAAAAATCAGTTATAGTATTAATTATTATTCCAGTGTAAATCAGCTGTTTTCTGTGTGAATATATAGTAAAGTGTAATTTATTCCTGTGATCAAAGCTGAATTTTCAGCATCACCAGTGTCAGTGTCTTCAGTGTCAAATGATCCTTCACAAATCAGTATAATATGAGGATTTGATGCTCAAGAAACATTTATTATTATTATCAATGTTGAAACAGTTGTTGGTCTGTCAGTTGTACAGTTTTTTTGTTGTTTTTTTAGGATTCTTTGATGAATAGGAAGTTCAAAAGAACAGCATTTGTTTGAAATAGAATCTTTTGTAACATTATAAATGTCTTTACTGTCCTTGATAAATAAAAGTATTGATTTGTTTACTCCAAAAAATAAAAATAAAATTCTCAGTGACCCCAAACTTTTGAACGGTATGTATATATATATATATATATATATATATATATATATATATATATATATATATATATATATATATATATATATATATATATATATATATATATATATATATATATATATATATATATATACACACACACATCCATATATATATATATAATAAACACATACATATTTTCAAAGTAATAAACTGAGATCTCACCTGCTTTACTGCAGTCGACAGTGAAAGAGGCTTTCTGGCCCACGAAGGCCTTACTGAGACCTGGCCCTCGACTGAGCACTTTACTGGCGTCAGAGGCGGCTCTGGGAGACGAGCTGTAAGAGTTCACACTGCTCGACCTGCTCACCGACTCCACCATCAGAGTGGACATCTCGCTGGCGTTGGTCACGTTCACCAGCCGTGGACCTGAAGACCCCAACAAGAGTTCAACACCTCGACTAACAACTGAATCTCAATCCGTTCTCATCAAACACCACCATACTGAATCCTTCTGGCTCAGATCAGAGCAGACGTCCAGTTGCACACACACACACACACCTGTGACTTTGGCCTTAAACGGGCTTCCGGTGATGTGGTTGGGGCCGCCGTATTTGATAGTGATGATGTAGTTCCCAGGGGCCATCGGTGTGTAGTGCACTTTAAACCCTTCGGGACACTCCTGACACTCCATCTTCACCTTGGACGGGCCCTCGATCGTGACGGACAGAGATGCGGGTCCAGCTTTGGTGTTATTGATGATAAACTCGGCCTGGTTACCTGTGAGAGTCGATATGATGTGAGCATGACTGTGTATGATGAACCGTTTCATGACAACTACAATATTCTCATTTCCTGCTTCCTGTTAGCCATCAAAGTCGACACAATGACTGTTCAGAATAACACAACTATATTTCTCTTTTCTTTGTGCACAGTAGACTATGCATGGAAACAATGATAACCTGCATTTGCACCATTGCATAGTAAACTGGTAATGCATGCAAGTGTGTGTCTGTTAAGTGTGTGTGTGTGTCTGTTCTGCTAACATCCCTCCCGTGCTGTTAACACTGACATTATCAGACGAAGGATGCAAGCTATTCTGACAATTTTAGCTATTGTAAAACCAAATTTATTATTTTTTGTCTTTAGACTAATGAAGCACAATGCATTTTAATGCAGACTAACTCAATACCATTTTTAGCTACCCTAAGAGGCAGCATAATAATGCTTTACATTATAATGCTATACATTACAAACCTTTCGCATTGGTTTTGGAGCCGAGCTAAATGTCCCCGTGAGCGTTAGACTTTTTTTTAGTTGTTAGACGAGTAACTATGAAGACATGCATTTGTTCTGGATGTGATCCATGAGAAATAGGTTAGCTAATCCAAGATCCTTCTGTTTAAATCATTTTGCTACAACAATGAGGCGCGTTCAACACGAGCGAGAGAGCGTAACTTCCTCTCGACATGCCAAGTGAAAAGAAACATCAAGCAATCAATATTCATAGTGTTGAAAACACACTGACGGCAGAGAGGAAAACTTGCACAGGCTTTTATTCCCGCAGAATTGTTTTTAGCCCTGAGCCAACAAGTAATGTGTGTCCAATTAATGTCGAAAGCATTACCTGTGGTTCCTCTTTCCAGACCGGCTCCGTACGCAGTGACGAGTCCGGCATCCCCGATCTGTCCTGGTTCTCCCACACGGACCTGGAACGGACTGCCAGGGATGTGTGTCCCGTTGAACTTCACGTCGATGAGGTGGACGCCGTTCTCCCGCGGGATGAAACGGATGGCGTACTTGTCTAGAAAACAAAGAGTATATTAACCAGAGAACCAAAAGAAGAATTAATGACAATAATGGCAGTCAGGGTCTCGATTCACAACGTATATTATATACCTATTTCTATATTTCCTCAAGTATAAGTTAAGACAACTCGCTCTCCTAGCACAATGTCCAACGTTAACATGCAATTCATCATTTCTGGGTTTTTGTTATAACTAGAATACAAGATGCTTGTTACATGAAAAACTTCATTAACTATATTAACTACATGAGTTAACATGAACAATGGAAATAGTTCTAAAGCATTTATTAATGTTAATATCGACAATCTAATACATTATTAAAATGAAAAGTTGTATCGGTTCATACCTGAGCTGACATGAACTAATAATGAACCGTTAAATCAAAACTAACAAACAAATCGCTCATTGTAATTTAATGCATTAATAATTGGACTTTATTGTAGTGTTATCAAACACAGTTGTATATTAAAGTCAGAATGAAAACCCCTTCACAAACCATTTTACTTTCAGAAAACATTTCCGAGTGGAATGTCATGCATAATGGGTTGTAAATGCAGTTTCATGTTCAAATAATAATAAAGTCCTTTCACTTTTAGTTATACCAGAAAACGATTTAATGCGTGAAACGCATCATATCCAGATATGAGAGGCTGTTGAAGAGTGTATAAGCTCATGATCATGTCACCTTGCTCTAGTTCAGACACCACACACTCCTCCAGCGCTCCGGACGGACTGTGAACTTTGGCATCGATGTCGCCCTTCGCCCCGTTCAGACGCACTGCGAACGATGTGGGCTGGTTCACCTTCAGACCCGACTCCTACATTAGTGAACCAACATTTAGACCTGCATATGGAGCCAGTGCATTCTGGGAAAGACTGTTGATGCACATACACTGCCGTTCAAAAGTTTGGGGTCGGTACGTTTTTTTCATGCTTTTTCTGTTCATAAAGGCTGAATTTATTTGATAAAAATAGTTTAAAAAAGAGAAATATTACAATTAAAAGAACTGTTTTTAGTGTCACATGATCCTTCAGAAATCACTTGATTTGCTGCTCACAAAACATTTCTGATTATCAATGTTGAAAACTGTTTAATATTTACGATTCTATAATGAAAAGTAAAAAACAGCAATTATTTCAAATAAGAATCTTTTGTAATATAAATGTCTTTGCTGTCAACTTGATCAATTTAATGCATTCTTGCTGAATATAAGTATTAAATTCTTTCACATAAATCTAATTTTTTTTTACTGACCCCAAACTTATGGTACAGTATAAAAGGTATATTGTTATACATTTTAAATGTGCATAATCCTAAAAAATAAAAATAAAAAGCAACAACAACAACAAAAAAACAATAAAATGCTTAACATGACATGTTTAGATATTGCTAATCTGACCTGGCCTCACCTAAGATCAGCTAAAGCTGAGAGAGAGAGATTTGACAATTTGACAACAGAGAAAATGAGAACTAAAGGGTTTGCTAAACTACAGGGAATTATGGGATGCGGTTGGATGGAGGTTTCTAGCAGTCGGTGTCGTCTTCCTCTCTCGGCTTCAACTGATCTTACTGTGAGCTTTACAACGGTTGAGTCTGTTAAAAGCCTTTAAATGAAACACAAGAGAAACACCAGAACAGCCACAGAAAGATGAGTGATGTCCGACAGCTATTCAAAGAGGAGTTCGCTGGAGAAATCTGACAACATTAAGCCATCATATATGTGCACTTCTGATGCGAAGCCTAGTCTAAAAGTAGACGGCAACATCATGCTGCCTTCTAAGATACCTCGTTTGAGCCAAATTCAAAGCATCTTCTGTTTCTTTCACCCTCGCTGAGACTTGATATAGTGGACTGGATTATCAAAACGCTCAGAATCTATCAAGCATATAATAAGGACTGATTTAGATATAGGTGGTTAAGCAGGATGTATTTTTATTTAGATGAGTTTAAAAGTATGGGGTCTGAAAGATTTTTTTTCTTTTAGAATGAAATTAATACTTTTATTCAGCAAGAATGCATTAAATTGATCAAAAATGACAGTAAAGACGTTGTTACAAAAGATTTATATTTCAAATAAATGCTGTTTTTTAAAAAAACTTTTATTCAAAGAATCCTGATGTTTCCAAAAAAATATTAATATTTTCTACATTAATAATGTTAAGCATCAAATCATCATATTAGAATGATTTCTGAAGTATCATGTGACACTGAAGACTGGAGTAAGGATGCTTGATCACAGGAATAAATTAAATTTTAAATTATATTACAATAGAAACCAGTCATTTTTCACAAAATTATGGTTTTGATTAAATAAATGTAGTGTTGGTGAGCAGAAGAGACTTCTTAAAAAAATAAATAAAATAATTGTACAGACTCCAAACTCTGCACTTCATATGAAAAGCTCTATGTGTGTTGCTAGCTATGAAGAACATCTAATTTCACACAAATACGAGTTTCATTAGAACTGAGCTGCCTATGTAGTCAGCGATGTAGCTCACTAGTATGCATGTTAACTGCTGTATACATATTTAAGGGAAAGTATGTGTCGTTACATAGAAAACTTCCATATCAAGTGAAGTTTCACAGTTTTCCACTGTAAAAGTTTGAGAACTGAATAGCTGTGGACATGAATCTGTGTGTCGATGTTTCCTCATGTCTCACCTGAAGACTGGCAACAGTGAGTCGACGGGCATCGCCTTCGGGAGCGCACACGGGAACCAGGAACGGGCTGTCGGGAATGTGCTCGTCGTTGAACTTTATAGACACTTCGTAGTCGCCTGCAAAGAGTTTCGAGATAAGTTACTGCGGTATCTTACGGAGAATCTGCATTAAATCAAGCGATACAAGATTTTAAAAGGAGCACAGGACAGAAAGGCATTGGTCAAGTGTGTGTGTGTGTGTGTGTGTAAATATACCAGGTTCTTGAGCTACATAGGAGACGCCACATGATCCATCCTTCCTTTCCTCAAATGAGATTTCTGCACGACTGGGACCCTCGACAGCGATGGACAGCCCGCCAGCGCCCGCCTCTCGCGTCCACACGTTAAACTCAGCTACACCAGATCAGAACATTATTAGATCTATAAAAACACTTTTGGGTCACCAGCAGTGTTATTTACAGGTCACGAACACGGTCGTAATTCAACAGAAAATAAACAAATGCATTATATTTGCAGAATGAAAAATGAAACCTTAAAATGGTCCATTACAATTTTTTTCAAGATGACATTTTAATATATTCTCCACCCCTTTAATAATTTATTAAATTAAATATTAAAAATAAATGTGAAATTAAAAGTAGTATAATATTTTTATAAAAATGTTATCACTATAAATAAACATCTGGTGAGTAAGTAATTCAATATTTCTTTATGGAGTTTATGGTAAAAAAAACAACAACATTTTTCTCAAAATGACAAGATATTCTAAATTTTTTAATTAAAATATTAAAATAAAATGTAAAGTTAAATTATGCAGAAATTGTAGGCATTGTATAAAATTTTACACACACATTACAACACATTCTGTATTAAGCAAAGTTTTTTATATATATTTTTTGGACATGACATTTAAATATATTTTCCACGCTTTTAAAAAAAAAACTAGAATTAAAATGATTAAAATATTGGTAAAATTAAATTAAATAACAGGCAGTACAACAAATACTACCTTAATGTATTGTAACCACATTTATAATCTTTTTAAAATGTATACATTTTTTATTTCATTTAGACATCTCCTTTTGTGTTCAACTGAATAAAAATAGTAATTTGAGTAAATAACAGTTAAACTTTTTTTTTTTTTTTTACTTTTATGGAGTTAAAAGAACTGAGCCAGAGATTCTTTTCATGATTGCATTTTAAATATATTTTTTATCCTTTTCCACCTTTTTGACCTAAAATGAAAATTAAAGTATTAAAATAAATTTTAAATTAGATTCAAATTAAACTACAGACAATACTACAAGTACTACCATAATGTACAACATGCTTTTATAATGCATAGGCAACACTTTAGTTTAGGGTCCAATCCTCACTATTACAGTAAGTTGTTGCTTATTATCATGCTTATTACTAGAATATTGGCTGTTTATTAGTACTTATAAAGCACATATTAATGCTTTATTCTGCATGACCATATTCTACATCCCTTAATCCGACCCAATACCTAAACGTAACTACCTAACTAAGCAGTAATTAGGAGTTTGAGGCAAAAGTCATAGCTAATAGATAGTTAATAATGCGAATTGGACCCTAATCTAAAGTGTGACCACATTTTAGTAAACATTTTGTCTGTAGATACCTGGCACGCTCGCCTCGGCCTTCTCCAGACCCGGACCCCCCGCCCGCACCTTGTGGGCTCCACCTTCTCCCAGCGGACCCACGGTGAACTGGAAGGGGCTTCCCGGCACATGCTGCGCGCGGTACTTCACGCTGACCGTGTGAACGCCCATCTCATGAGGCACGAAGCGCACGCAGTACGTGTGGTTTCCCACACACACGATCTCAGCCGCTTCTGTGGCTCCCGACGGGCTGGTGACCTGCGCAGACACGTCCTGAATGTCGATTTCTGGGGAGAACAGAGCAGAAGGATTCTTGGGAGAGCTGAATGGAGAGAGAGAGAGCGCGTTTTCTCAAGAGAGATGATGATGATGCTTACAGCACTCAGGTTTATTAAAGGAATAAAAGGAAAAGGCTAACAAATGGAAAAGGAAATGGTAACAATTTACAATAAGGATCCATTTGTTAACATTAGTTAACTACACGAGTTAACATGAACTAACAATAAAAAAATAAAAATAAACACTATCGGTCAAACGTTTGGAACAATGATTTTTTTGTTTTGAGAGAATTTTTTTAGTAAAAAAAAATATATTTTAACATGTTTTCAAAAAATAAAATTTATTCCTGTGATCAAAGCTGAATTTTCAGCATCATTACTCCAGTCTTCAGTGTCACATGATCCTTCAGAAATCACTCTAATATGCTGATTTGATGCTTAATTAAAATAGAAAAAAGAAATTGAAAACAGTTATTTTAATTTAATAAAATTGCACTGTTTGGCTATTTTTGGTTAAATAAATGCAGCTTTGGTGAGCAGAAGAGACTTCTTTTAAAAACATTTAAAATAAAAAAATCTTAATTTGTTCCAAACTTTGACCAGTAACACAAAAACAAAAAAACAAGAAAAAAAGAGAAGCATTTATTAAACTTAGTTCAATGTAATGGGGGGAGAACAAAAACATTTTTTATCATTTTATAGATTAAGTTAAAAAATCTTGTTGAATTTTATAGAAAAGGTACATCATCTTCACCAAAGTGATTTGAACGGACTTGATGTCATAATTACAACTCGTAAATATGGACTTCCCAGGAACACTTGAATGCACTAATTTCAACATTTACTAATACATAATTAAGTTGAATCTGTTAATATTTATTGGACCTGAGCTAAAATGAACTAACAAACAGTTGTATTTTTATCAACTAAAATGCAAAATGTTAATGCATTAACTAATGTTAAAGGGATAGTTCACCCAAAAATGTAAACTCTCCCTCATGTTGTTCAACCCCGTAAGACTTTCGTTCATCTTCAGAACACAAATTAAGATATTTTTGATTAAATCTGAGAGCTGGATCACTCCTCCATAGGCTTCTTAAGGGATCGAAACTGGCCGGCCCAGAAAAGTTATGAAAGACATCGTTAAAATAGTCCGAGTGACTACAGCGGCTCAACCTTAAGTTTATCAAGCGACGAGAATACTTTCTGTGCGCAAAAAAACAAACAAAAATAACGACTTTATTCAATTATTCATTTCCTTCTCTGTGGGCCGTGAGATTTCACGTAGTGTAACAGCGCAGCGCTTCTGTGTTGTATGTCACACGCATCACACACATGATCAGCGTCGGCCAATAGTGAGCCTACGTGTGACGTACAACACAGAAGCGCTGCGCTGTTACACTACGTGAAATCTCACAGCCCACAGAGAAGGAAATGAATAATTGAATAAAGTCGTTATTTTTGTTTGTTTTTTGCGCACAGAAAGTATTCTCGTCGCTTGATAAACTTAAGATTGAGCCACTGTAGTCACTCGGACTATTTTAACGATGTCTTTCATAACTTTTGGGCCGGCCAGTTTCGATCCCTTAAGAAGCCTATGGAGGAGTGATCCAGCTCTCAGATTTAATCAAAAATATCTTAGTTTGTGTTCAGAAGATGAACGAAAGTCTTACGGGGTTGAACAACATGAGGGAGAGTAATTACTGACAGAGTTTACATTTTGGGGTGAACTAACCCTTTAACTTATGGGATCTTTTTGTAAATCAGTACTGTCATCTGTATGACTTTCTTTACACCATGCAGCACAAAAAGCCCAACAGCAGCATGAACATTTGGCTTATGTTCCACAATAGAAATAAAGGTTTGCAACATGACGATGTGTAAATAACATGAACATTTGATGGAGTTGTGATGAGCATAAAAAGCAGCGCTCGTTCATGCAAACACATCAAGAGCAGCGCGTTCTGCCAACCTCGTCGTCCACATGCCCCGCGCTTACAACGCACCCTCCAGCCCTCCAGAGGGCCTTCTCAGGGGTGCCGTGCCAATCCGGCTGACCCGCACTCGGCCCATGGTGAAGCGTGTTGACCTCAGAGGGCCCGCCTGACCTTTGACCCCGAGCCAAAGAGAGCAGTGGGAGCGATAGACGCCGCGTGAGAGCAACTCACGAGCCAAAGCCAGAAGAAACCAGGTCACTGAAAGCCGTAGACGCAGAAGAAAAAGACAAGGAAGAAAAAGAGGAAAGATAAAGGACAGAACAGGTCAGAAAAACAGTAAAGTGGGGAAAAGGTAGAATAGGAAAAGCATTGGGCCTTTTATAAAACACAAGTACGATCAAATTTGATCCTAAATACCACGGATTTTATCCTACATCAAAAGTGAGGAACAAATTGGGATTTATTAAAAGCAGAAACTGATGTGAAAATGTTCATATACCAGTGATTCAATTAATTTAACATCGATTATGAACATGTAGATTAATCACAATAGGCATTTATATATTGGTACTTTACAATAAGGTTCCATTTGTTTGCATTAGTTAACAAGAACTAACAATGAATAATACTTAATATCAAGTTAAAAATGTACTAATGTAGGGATGCTGATTCTCTGGATTGTTTTAAGAAACTTCTTAAGACACATCTTTTTAGTCAAGCTTTCAATTTATAATTGTATTACTTTGTTGTACTTTAACTATTTATTTATTTATTTTATCCTCATGTTTGATTGTTTTGTTCTGTACTGTAGCGCTTTGAGTCTGAGAAAGGCGCATTACAAATAAAATATATTATTATTATTATTATTATAACTACTAATACATTATTAAAATGAATATAAATTTAAACATGTACTAATACATTATTAAAATGAATATAAAGTTAAAAATGTACTAATACATTATTAAAATGAATATAAAGTTAAAAATGTACTAATACATTATTAAAATCAAAAGTTGTATCTGTTAATATTACTTAATTGACCTGAGCTGACATGAACTAATAATGTATTTTTATTATCTAACATTAACACTGAGCACTACATTTGTTACAGTATTTATTCATCTTTGTTAATGATTAACTAATGGGACCTTAATGTAACATGTTACCAGTATTTGATATATTTGCAAATGAGCAACAATTTGAACTGCTCTGTAACTAAAATAAACGGAGCAATTCCAATGCTTGAGCCCTAATGAACATTTATGAACATTTTTGTGCATGCAGACATTTTATAAATCCGTCATAGGACCAGTTTAGGATCATTATACGCACGTCTATATGAATGAGGACCCATGTCTGATTTTTGGCCATTTATACACGTTATTTCCGCTCTTTATGTCTGACCTCATACACACTCTTGAAATGTTCTTGTGAGAGGCCCAACAGTGAGTGAATGAGCTCCAGTGACGATCTGTGTGTCCTGGATTAGATCAGCGCTAACATGACATCATTAACCAGGACAAATCACATATGGAAGTCGTCTGCACGATCCAGGTCTGAATATTAATCACCCAACCAAAGGCCTATTCACACCAAAAGTGACGCGTTCTTTAATGTCAAATACAAACCACCGCTAAACATTAACGCCAATGTTGTCATTTTCTAAAATAGAAGTGGCAGTCTCTTATTGTTTGTTTTTTATTTGAGCAAAATACATTTACGTGTGAAAGGTATTAAAAAAATGCATAATGGTAAATTCACATCTATTAAACCTCAATCTAACCCTCATAAGGTATCTTATTAAATTGTTTAATTTATTAAAATAATTTGTGGAGAAGTTAAAAAATAAATAAATTGAAAACCAAAACCAAACAAAATCTCGTATCTATCATTTATCAGATTGGATTAAAAGAAATGTATTAAGAAAATGTATAAAAAATAAAATAAGATTGTTTTAACGTTAAAATAAATAATTACTTATTATTTAAAAAAATAAAGAATAAAATAAAATTCACATCTAGTGTGAAACATTTTTGCATTTTAAACTCATTTTTGAACTGCCTTTTGGTCTCTTCTAAAGAATATTGTCATGCACTAGTAAATGACTAACATCTTTGTTTAAAAAATAAAGTTTGTGCTTGTTCGCATTACTATTCAAACACTATGAAGAGAAAATTGTCCTGTCCCACAAAAAGATATTTCAGACTACACCGAGACCCTACTGGAAGTGCAGTATTAGCTAACTTTATCCCAACATCAAATCGCCTCAGCGTTTCCCTCAAGACTAGCTAGCATTAGCGCAGCACGTAGCACAGACACACGACACTGACTCGATCAGCAACATCTGCGCCAGTCTGAGGGGAAATCAGACCTCAAGCCACGTCCAAGTTCAATACGTTCAGCTTCACCTGCATATGATGCCGTGTTTCAGAGAGCCATGTGTTTTTACTCACGTATGGAGACTCGATGCTTTAATGCATGACGTGAGCCAGCAAACAACTGCACATCCATTTGTTTCGTGCTTTTTTTGGCTGGCGTTCCTGTCAGAGATTGAGCTACAGCGTATTAAACAAGCCTATAAACCAAGCCTTGACATAAAGTGGCTGAAATGATAAATAATTCACGGCTAATGCACATTAAAACTCCAATCTCGGATTCGAAGATGAATCATCATGTGGATAGATGTCCGCTTGACTTGATATGAAGTGTAAAGGTTATAGCTGTATATCTGGGAACTTTCATACCTGGGATCTTTAGGTTGAGATCACACACACTTCCAACACTAGAGACGGACGCTGCTTTCTGCCGGCGAGTGATGCTCTCGCGGATACGACCTTCTCCGGTCACCCGAACGCTGAACGGACTTCCTGCAAACACAGACATGCAACAAAAATAAGTCACAATGACGGGAGTAACATGCTAGAAGTCTCTTCAGCTCACCAAGACGGCTTTTATTTGATCAAAAATACAGTAAAAATGTGAAATATTATTACAGTTTAAAATGGCTGTTTTCTGTGTGAATATATTGTAAAATGTAATTTATTCCAGTGATCAAAGCTTGAATTTTTAACATCGTTACTCCAGTCTTAAATGTCACATGATCCTTCAGAAATCATTCTAATATGCTGATTTGCTCCTCAAGAAACATTTATGATTATTATCAATGTTCAAAAGTTTCTTTTTTTTCAGGATTTGATGAATAGAAATGGAAAAAAAGAACCGTTTATTTGAAATCGAAATCTTTTGTAACATAATACACAGTTGTAATAGGAAATGTACAGTATATACACTGTGCAATACGCTTACAACTCCATTTTGAATATCGTCTTTTGCCAAATAATGTGTAAACAAGATGTACGCCATATTTGGACCACAATATAAAACCTATAGAAGTTTTGAGCATGCGAGTCTCTCACCAGGGACGTGCTCTTCTGCAAACCTGATGGACACGATGTAGGTGCCCGGCTCACTCGGACAATATGAGACGCCACACGTGCCGTCCTCCATGTCTTCTGTCTGTATGTCCACCTTACTGGGACCCTCAATGGCCAACGCCAAACCTCCATAACCTGTGAACACACAGTTATGCCATTCAGGATCACCATAGACCAGTGTTTCCCAACCCTGTTCCTGGACACACACCAACACTACACATTCTGCATGTCTCCCTCATCTGACCCAAACACGTCTGGTCCTGGAGGCTCTGCTAACGTTGAATCAGGTGTGTTTGATTAGAGAGTTTGGGAATGTGTAGTGTTGGTGTGTCTCCAGGAACAGCGCTGGGAAACACTGGATTACATGCATTAACATTAATAAACAAATGCTAACTGGATGCATGAGAAATAAAAGCATTTTATTGTACAAGACAAGTTAAAAAGTGTGTGACATACTTTATATGAAGGACTAATTGTATAAATATTTAAGTTCTTTGGGTAAGTGGGAATAATTTGCCGCTGTGGTACCAATTAAGAGCCCAATTTCCACCTTTGAGCCACTTTACACAACCTGTTTGGATTATATTCTTAGCAATTAAGTGAATAGGAGAGCTTGAAAAAACATCATTAAGGGCCAGACGTTTTAGCAGACGAGGTTTATTTAGCGCTTATGTCGTTCGGTTAGGCGGGTTAGACTGAACAGAAGTCAAGCTCTACGTTTAATGTTAATATCTTTGTTATGAAGGAAAAATGCGAGAGGAACCTCACACATTCTGTAAAGTGATTTTTATAACCTCAAACCCTTCAAGACAAGAGTGAATCAGTGCTGAGGAATGAAGAGGATCTACGTCAGCTCACATTTAAAGCCTCTTATTTGTGGGAAATGTTTATATCACCTGCTTTTGGGAGAGACGTTGCTATGAAGTTGCTCAGTGAAAACAGCCCACTCTCAAATCTATGATATTTCGTTCTCTACATATGCCTCAAGCTGGGGTTAAGGACTTAAATGTAATGTAATGAATGAAAGCTATTTATATATAATAATAATAATAACAATAATACGTCAACAACTATTATTATTAATACATTATCAAATTAAATGCAGATAAAGATAATTATACAGATAAAGATAATAACATTATTTGTATTAAATAGATATCATATAATAATGTGAGTTTATATTATAAAATTATATAATAGTAAATAATTATGATAATATTGTTTTATATTACAATATTATAATTATATATTAGTTATTAAATGATACAAATTATAATATCAAACAAATTAAATACAGATAATTATACAGATAAAGATAATAACATTATTTGTATTAAATAGATATCATTATAATGTGAGTTTACATTATAAAATATAAAACATTATATCATAATTATTTACTAATACAATATTATAATTATAATTTGTATTTAATAACTAATATATAATACATACGCTGTTGTTATTAAATATAATAATACTATAATTCTATATTATATAATATTAATTATTTATTTAATTATAATTATAAGACATGATTTAGTATTATAATATTAGAAATAGATATTATATATTGTTAATAAATAAGACAAAGATAATAATAATAATAATAATAATAATATAATAGTTATTAAATAAAGATAAAAAATGAACAATAGCTATTAATATTATAATACATAAAAATTATTATTATTACATAAATATATTGTATTATTATAATAAACTATAATGTAAGTTTATATAACAATAGTAATAATAAAAATAATTAAAAATCTATTTTAGTTTTTAAATAAATAATAAAAGATGAAATAAATAAAATGAAATAAATAATAAAAGCTTTATATATACATATATATATATATATATAAAAAGATAAAAATCAATCAATCTCTCTCTCACCAGCTTCCCTTGTGTCCACCACAAAGTCGGACATCTCGAAGGTGTTTCCCTCCACCAGCCCCTGTCCGAAGACCTTGACTCGGCTGGCGTCTCCGATCTCAGACTGGACCACCATGATGGTGATGGGGCTGTTAGGGACATGCTGTCCGTTCTTCTTGATGCTCACCAGGTGCTCCCCAACTTCTCTCGGGATGAAGGAAATGCCTGAAGAAGAAATGACCAACCACATGTCATCCAAAACGAAATTCATAGCTTGCAAAAAGAATGAGTGAACCGATCCCAGACGTACCGATGTGGTTGTTGGGTTGTCTCTTGAGCAAACACGGCTCGTCGCGGCCGGAAGGGGCTTTGATGCTCGCGCTGAGAAGACTCAGATCCGTCTCGGTGATATCCAGAGAGAAATCTGCAGCGGAGCCCAGCTTCACCTGGGACTTCCTCTTATTGTCTTCTGCAAAGTCAAGTCACTTTATTTATTTTTATTTATTTACACAACACAGATTGTTACAAAGCAGCTTCACAGTAACAAACAGATAAAATAATGGCAAAACTTACAATAAGGTTCATTAGTTAACATGAATTAATAATGAACTATGCTTCTACAGCATTCTTCAACATTTATTAATACATCATTAAAATCAAGAGTTGTATGTTAACATTAGTTAATCCACTGTGAACTAACTTGAACAAACTATGAAAAACTATTTGCCAAGACTATTTTACAGTGTCCTTGTTACATATACTTACCATAGTAATAACAATAAATTATGCATAATTACATGCAACTAACCCTCAACCAAACCCTAACCCTATAGAAAAGTACATGTAGTTGCTTAATATTACCCAGTACTTAAATATATAATTACACTGTAACAATGACCCCTTAAAATAAAGTGTAACCATGTATTTTTATTAACTAACGTTAACAAAGATTAACATATGTATTGCTAATTATTTAATACATTAACTACAGTTAACCAATGAACCTTATGTAAACGTTACCAAAATAATCGACACAACCGAGACAAAATTCATCAAATATGAGACAAATTCAAATTATGCTTTTAAAAAGCAAAATCAGGTAAAAAAAAGTCACGTTCTAACGAGAGACGTCAAGCAAACTAGCAGACGAGACGTGTACCTGTGACCCTGGCGGTGAAGGGGCTTCCAGCGATGTGCTTGTCATTGTAGCGGACGAGTATGTTGTAGTCTCCAGGGAGTGTGGGCAGGTACGAGACACTGCAAGTGCCGTCTTTGTTGTCCACACAGCTGATCTCAGCCTTCGACGGACCTTCAATGGCCAAATCCAGTCCGCCTGGGGCAAAACACCAAATTATCATGTTTTCTAGGCAGAGTTTTCTGGCCAACATTAATGGGTAATACTTTTCAATAAGGTTCATTAGTTAACTACATTAGTTAGCATGAACTGCACGTACACAGCATTTATTAATCTTTGTTAATGTTAATTTCAACATGTACTAATACTTTATTAAAATCTTGTTGACGTTAGTTAATGCACTGTGAACTTACATGAACAAACAACGAACGGCTGTATTTTTATTAACTAACGTTAAAGGGATAGTTCACCCAAAAATGTAAACTGTCAGTAATTACTCGCCCTCATGTTGTTCAACCCCGTAAGACTTTCGTTCATCTTCAGGACACAAATTAAGATATTTTTAATTAAATCTGAGAGCTGGATCACTCCTCCATAGGCTTCTTAAGGGATCGAAACTGGCCGGCCCAAAAGTTATGAAAGACATCGTTAAAATAGTCCGAGTGACTACAGCGGCTCAACCTTAAGTTTATCAAGCGACGAGAATACTTTTTGTGCGCAAAAAACAAACAAAAATAACGACTTTATTCAACTATTCATTTCCTTCTCTGTGGGCCTCGAGTGAGTTCACGTAGTGTAACAGCGCAGCGCTTCTGGGTTGTACGTCACACGTAGGCTCACTATTGGCCGACGCTGGTCATGCGTGTGATGTGTGTGACGTACAACCCAGAAGCGCTGCGCTGTTACACTACGTGAACTCACTCGAGGCCCACAGAGAAGGAAATGAATAGTTGAATAAAGTCGTTATTTTTGTTTGTTTTTTTCGCACAAAAAGTATTCTCGTCGCTTGATAAACTTAAGGTTGAGCCACTGTAGTCACTCGGACTATTTTAACGATGTCTTTCATAACTTTTCTGGGCCGGCCAGTTTCGATCCCTTAAGAAGCCTATGGAGGAGTGATCCAGCTCTCAGATTTAATAAAAAATATCTTCATTTGTGTTCTGAAGATGAACGAAAGTCTTACGGGGTTGAACAACATGAGGGAGAGTAATTACTGACAGAGTTTTCATTTTGGGGTGAACTAACCCTTTAACAAAGATGAACAAATACAGTAACAAATGTATTGCTCATGGTTAGGTCATGTTAGTTAATATTGTGAAGTGTTAGCACACACCTTCAGAAGCATCTTCAGTGTAGATGGTGAACATGGCGGTTTTATTGGTGGTCCCGTAGACCAGGCCCGGTCCATATGCGGTCACATTAGGGCTGTTTGTGTTGTTGACGTAGAACTGCAGAGGGCTCTCTGAGAAAACATGCAACGCATTCAATACGATGGCAGAAAACACACATACAACAGAATGGAAACATAATGAGGCAGAGCAGCTGGTGAACACGAGCGTTTGGAGAATTATAAATTACGAATACATCTGAGAGGTGTTTTTGTTCTGAAATGCATCTTATACTTTTAAAACATTTTATATATGGTTTTATTTTCTTTTGATTTTGTGGTGAAAAATTACCTGGACCGTTTTCATGCAATTCACACAGAAATCTGGAGCATTTTTTTTAAATACGTATACATTAAATATATAAACTAATTTGCCTTTGTTTTGTTTGTCTTTGTGTTTGTGAATATTTGCAAACATACAACAAAATAAAACATACATAAGAAAACCCACAATTTTTTTTTTTTAAATCCAGAGCAATAAAATGAATTAAAACAAAACCTGGTTATAAATATAATGGGCAGTATTGTTGTATATACTATGCATATTTTAATACAATTAATATATATATATATATATATTATATATATAAATGCATTAACAATGAGCTTGTATAAACATTGTTTTAAATAGTATATACAACAATACTAGCAGTAGTGAAAAATCTATGTCATTTTAATACATAAAAAAAATTAATAAAAAAAACCTAGGAATAGTGAAAAATCAATTCAAACAATGTTAATACAAGCTCATTGTTAATGCTAACAGGATATCCTCATGGAGCTTTAGACACTCCTAACAATAATAATTCAACTCTATAACACATTCTTCCTGCCTTACATGGAGAAACAAATCCATCGGATGAGGCTCGACTATCACATTAATGTGATGTTTACTGCGGTTACTGATGGCACTGGACCAGCGACTGGAAAACATGAAACTCCAGCCATAAAACAAGCACCTACATGAGGATCTGTACCCAACACACACCAGCTCCAAACACAGATTCCTCACGCCTGACGTCAGCCTTGAGATCTTTCACCACGCTAAATAAATCAGCACAACTGAGTTTGTGTCCGCCCTCGGTCAACTTAAATCTCTTCAAAAGGTGAAGCCTTCTCAACCTTCACACACACGGATCTCTGGGACAACGAAAGGCCTTAAAACAAATCCTGACAGCACATCAGTCAGATGAGATGAATTACTCTCATGCATGCTTAGGTTCCAGTAGGCAGTATTAAAGAGTTTGTTCACAGAAAAATGTCTTTTTGAACCCATATTACTAACTTTCATCAGCACAAAACGAGATGTTTAGCAGAACGTTCAAGCTCTTTCATAAAACAAAAGGTCACCATATGCTTTTATTATATGGAAATTGCAGCAAGAACACTTCAAAAGAAACTAACAACATTAATGGTTCATAAATGACATGAAGGTGAGCGTGTGTGTGTGTGTGAAACTGATTTGATGGTGTGCTGTGGTCCTGGACTCTGACCTGGGATGTGTGAGCCGTTGTATTTAATGTGCATTTCATGAAGTCCAGCCTCTGTGGGCGAGAACTTCACTGTGACCGTCCCGTCTTTGTTGTCGATTATCTCAGGCTGAGCGGTTTTACCTGACGGCATGTGAACCTCACCTGGAGGACAAACATTAAGTGTTCGGTTTATGCTTTTTGAACAAATATCACTGCAGATTTAGAGGAAATCACTAGTATGAAACGCTTTATGAGTGACATGTTCATGATTACATTTCAAAAGTTGAAAAATGTATATATTTAGACATGCACAGAAACATACAAACATTTGAGAAAAAATTACAACCATTTTTAGGAGCATTAAGATTTCACATTTTTATGTTTGCATAATTTAAGAATAATGTGAATAAATAAATATTGTACTGCCTTTGAAATTATGATGATTCAAGTAAATAATTTCTTTTTTTCCCCTCCTCATTACAGTAATAAGAATTTAGGGGGAAATTTTGCTTAGTTTACAAGAGTTTCATAATGAAAAATATCTTAATCCAAAAATATGCTTGATTTTTTTTGTGGGGGGAGGGTGAAATATGACCCTGACATGAATCGTGTTTAAAGATCTGCATTGAGCAGCACAAAACCCCTTAAGTTAAGAATACCCTTAGTGAAAATGTGTTTGAATTTAACTCATGAGTAGCTAATAAGGGTTTTCTTTAAAGGGTGTCTTTTGAAATCTCTCACCTGTGATTGCCCCCTTCTTAAACGTAAAGGGAATCACCATATCGAAAGGTCTGTATCCCGTCCCGTTCACACTGTTCGCAGGGATATACGCGCCATCTGTAACCTGTGAGGCGGCGAGGAGAAATGAGAGTAAATGAGAGCGGACGGTGCAAACGCATCCGTTAGAACTGCCTGTCAAACATTTCCATGTTTAGTCAAGTCTGTGCGATCCATTCTGAAAGCAAGAGCGCTGTGGACGAGAAAAGACATTAACAGCCCAGTGATTCAGCCACAGCAGAAGACAAACGTGTGTTAGACACGAAACAGAGGAAGACGAGACTGTGATCGGCCCCCCAGCACAGCTGACAAAGCAAAGCGGCCTGGAAAAGAGAATGATAAAGGAGGAAAAATCCCCAAACCGTGGTAAACATCTCAGAAATAAAGAAAATGATTGTGTGCATTGAATGAAACATGTTGAGACATCATCTAATATGAGCCCTGCACAGAGAGATGACACAAGGAAGGAGCATTACTGATAAATGACTCCTGATTTCACCTGGAGGGAATGAGGTAACCACTATGAGAAGAATTACAACTGTGTGTTAAGTTTAAGTAGACATTAATAGATCTGTACCAAACACAAAAGCTCCCAATCAGACTATAGGAGCTAAAATATGCTCTCTAAGATGCTTCATTTCAAAGCGTCCTTAGTATAGAAGGCAATGCCAGAGTGACAACGATCGTTAAAAACAAGTTAAGTTAAATTAAACCCAATTTTTGTGTTACATACACTACTGGTGTTTGGGGTCGGTAAGAATTTGTTTTTGTTTTGAAAGAAGTCTATTCTGCTCACAAAGGCTGCATTTTTTAAAATCAAAAATACATAAAAATAGTGAAACTACAATTGAAAAAAAAAACGTTTTTCTGTTTTAATAAATTTAAAGTATAATGTATTCCTGTGATCAAAGCTGAATTTTTAAATTCATTACTCCTGTCACATGATTATTCAGAAATCAGTGTAATATGTGGATTTGCTGCTCAAGAAATATTTCTTCCCATTATCAATATTGAATACAGTCGTGCTGCTTAATATCGACCCCGAAACCTTTGAACGGTATAGTGTATGTTCAGAGTTGTACAGGTCTGCTTTGTGGTTTTCTTAAAGTTTACGCAGGCAGAAAGCAGCAGCACACGAACCGCATAATGGTCCTGAGGTTAATGTCAGAATAATGAGCAATTTAAAACTGGTGTTCAATCCAAACAAAACTATGTCGGTCTAAACACTCAGGCGTCGAGTTTCCCTCTGCTTCTGTCATCAATGAAACGCACTAGTGGGAAAACCAGAGTGTGTGTGTTCAAGACTAATCAACGAGAGGAGGAAATAGAGACCGATGAGCCATGAATAACCATTCCAACCATTTCCTGCAAAAAAAAAAACGATTCTTGGTTGGTCAAAAACGAGGAAGAACTGAACAGAAACCCTTGGCCAACACAAACAAGAAGCACAAAGAGGAGACAGGGTGGTGTGTGTGTGTTCAGGAAGCTGGAGGTCAGTGCAAAGGCTGGAAGAGAGCGAACGGTGACGGGAGTGTGTGACTGGGGTGAGACGCGTGTGTCTTTGTACCCAGGGCTGGAAGCCGACGCCTGGCGCTGTCTTTTGCTGTTGGACTGACTGCTGCTGCATCATGGGAACTTCATCTGTTGCCTGAGGAATGATATGTATGGACATGAAACTTCAGATGCATGAGGAACATAAAAGAACACACACAACAAGCACTCAAACACAGACGCCAAATTGTGCCAATCCCGTTGTACATTCGTTCTCGTTGCTGTTGTGGTAACAAAACTCCATGTGTTGTTATAACTGATAGATAGTGTAGATATAAACATGTTTACAGTTCAACCGAGATTCTTCACACAAGTTGTGAGTCAACGCTGAGAATTTAGGGCTACAAGATTTGCATTTTATACTTGCATTTTTTTTCAGAGAAAAATTGTGATTTAAATTTTTTTTTTTTTTTTAAATCCATGTTTGTGGCACAATTTGTCCAAAATATTTCATGATTTTATATCAATAGGACTATGAAATAATACAAAAATAAAAGTATTATTATTATCAACATTACTTATATTATCATCATTATTATTATGCATTAAAATATTTATTATAATGCAAAACTATTAAGCAATAAGAAATACTACTAAGATATTTTACTGTAAAATGAAAGAATAAAGAAAATATATAATAATTTTACAATACAACTTATTGAAATAATAATATTTTTTAATGTAAAACCACCCAGCTTTAATTTTGGCAACAAATTAAATGTATATTAAATTGAATTAAAAAAGCCATATTGCAATTTAATTTTGATTTTGATTTATCGTGCAGCCCTCTGAGAATGCATTATGTTTTGCATTGTGTTATGAATTACGCTCTGACGCAATCCGGAACACAAAGATGCATGAAATCAAGCTTGTGTTGCTAGAAGCGTTTGCACGTGTTCTCATATGTATGTTTCAGGCCTAAATCAAAACCTTACCCTTAACATCACAAGATATGAAAACATTAATGAAATAAGTGTGATCATTTGTCTTGATAATGCAAAGAAATGACATCTTAATTCAGGAAGCCCCCCCTCCGAACTCGGACGAATGAAGTCCAGATGACAAATCACTGAACCTTAAAAACGGGCCCGTATCTATTGCAGCTTCTTAAAAACCTAAAGCCTCTTCAATATGGTTCTCTTTAAGAGAGCAAGAGCTGATGTTATCACCGTTTGCTTCTCACCATGACTTTGAAGGGGCTCCTGGGGATGTTCTCCCCTCCAAACCGCACGTAAATAACATAGTTCCCGGGCTTCGGCGCAGTGTAGAAGATGTCAAAGGTCCCGTCCTCGTTCTCGATTACATCAGCTTCCACCTCAGTGCCGTCAGGAGTGACCACAATGCAGGAGACCTTCCCCTTCCCGGCTCCTTTAGCGTTCACCACAAACCCAACTTCCTCTCCAATGCCGATGGTTGGCCCAATGCCAGGTCCTGCAGAACATGGAAAATTTGTTTTGATTTAAAAGTTTACAATAGATATACAAGTGATTTTTTCTTATGGGGATTATGTTTTCTTATCTCACCAATCCAAGTTTTTTTTGTGTTTTAAAAAATAATCTGCACTGTTACTTTGTGTAACTGGATCCGACAGCTTGGTCAAGATTCATAAATATTAATATTAGGGCTGTCAAAGGATTACATTTTTTTAATCTAATTAATTACACGATGTGGAGATTAATTCATCGCACATCAAAATTGGCTGAGAAATTACCCCCCAAAATCATTGAAAGTCATCATTGTGTTATATAAGAAAAGCATGAAATATATATTACAAAAAGTAGCTTTAGAAAAAAAAAATTTATTTGACTTTTCAAAGAATTTATTACCCAAACTTAAGCTTTAACGCCCATGAGGGTGATTAAATGAGAGAATTCAAATTTTTGGGTGAACTATACCTTTAATGGATTTTAAATTAATATGATAAATTAAAAAAAATTTGATTTGATGATACTTTAAACTTAAACTCTTAGTATGTGGCGGTAAATATCTAAATTAGTAAGTGATTGAGTCATTCATTCAAGATTCATTTCGTTCAAATGGCTGATTCATTCAGGAATGAAGTAAATGGTTGTCTTTATATACATTTTATATATATATATATATATACACAAAAATATCCATTAGCTGTGTGTGTGTCCTAACAAAGTCTAAAAAACCCTACAAAATGAGTGTAGACGTACCCGTGACCGTACACTTGCTGGCGTCTCCTGTAGTGGTCGCTCTCACTCTATATGGAGAAGTGGGGATCTCGTCTCCGCCATACTTGATTACAATAGTGTAACGGCCCACCTTGTCTGGCACATAAGACACTTTGTAGGTTCCATCCTGGTTGTCCTGAATGTTGGCTTTCTTGGATTTACCATCCTGATCCTGAAACGCATGAAAAACCATATAAAAGTCCTGCAGGACCACCTCAAACCTCCTGGAACAGACACAGCAGATGTGGAGGTCCTCAGATGAACTGAGAAGCAGTTTAAAAACACTAAGAGACACAGAGAGGAGCTTCATCAACAAGAAAAGGGACGGATGAGGAAGAGGTTAAGTTTCCCCCTGGATTTCCTGCTGCAGTTTGGCTTTCAGAAGACATTTATCTCACTGCTGGCCTGCCGCATTGGTCCTGGTGCATGTATTTGGAGTCCAAATGGAGAAATCAAAGATAATCCAGGATAACTGGAGCAGTAACTTCTCAAAAGATAAAATAACATGCTGCATCCAAGAGAAAGATAAATTTTGCAATATGCAGCTATGTGGTATTTGTGGATCCTTATTCATCTTTTCCATTGAAAGTCAGAAACTGAATCCACATGTGATTTTACAGTCTGTTGGCAGATTGAAAACATTCTACTTCAAATCTACATAAATTTAAGAAAATATTATATAATAAAAAATAAAATTGTATCAAATATTTTTATCTTAAATTTATGTAGAATATACATATATGACATATTACATTATCTTAATATATACAGTATATATGTATATATAGGCTAGACATACATATTTTCATGAATATTTAAAATTATAATTTAAAAAGCTTAATTGTGTGTATATATATATATGTGTGTGTGTATATATGTATGTATGTGTGTATGTATATGTATATGTATATGTATATGTATATGTATATGTATATATATATATATATATATATATATACACACATATATATACTACCGTTCAAAAGTTTGGGGTCAGTGAGAATTTTATTTTTATTTTTTGGAGGAAAGAAATCAATACTTTTATTTATCAAGGAATAATTAATTTGATCGAAAGTGACAGTAAAGACATTTATAATGTTACAAAAGTATTTTGAACTTCCTATTCATCAAAGAATCCTAAAAAAAAAAAAAAAAAAAAAAACTGTACAACTGACAGACCAACAACTGTTTCAACATTGATAATAATAATAAATGTTTCTTGAGCATCAAATCCTCATATTATACTGATTTGTGAAGGATCATTTGACACTGAAGACACTGACACTGGTGATGCTGAAAATTCAGCTTTGATCACAGGAATAAATTACACTTTACTATATATTCACACAGAAAACAGCTGATTTACACTGGAATAATATTTAATACTATAACTGATTTTTGTTGTATTTTTAATCAAATAAGCGCAGCCATGGTTAGCAGAAGAGAATTCTTTTAAAAGTATTTAAAATCGTACCGACCCCAAACTTTTGAACGGTAGTGTATATATATATACACACACACATTTTTATTCTATATATTTTATAATATCTGTGTGTGCAATCTAATCTAATAGATGGATGTATGAAAGTATGATGTATGATTTTTGCAATATGCAACTATGTGATCCTTAAAGATCTTTTCCATTGAATGTCAGAAACTGAATCCACATGTAATTTTACAGTCTGTTGGCTGATTGAAAACATTCTACTACAAATCAACCTAAAAAACTCATTTATATCAATCAGTGATATTCAAACTTTAATCCGTTTCTTCAGAACCACAAGAGGACGACGAGCCTGAACTTGTCAGTACTCACGGTAATCTGCACGGACAGCTGGCCTTCACCGGCATCTTTGGCATCGATGGTGAACTCGACTGGAAAGCTGGCGGAGAGACCGGTGGTCAGGCCGGGGCCGCTGGCACGCACTTTACTGGCATCATGAGTGGGCTGAACGCGCAGTTTGAACGGGCTGAAAGAGATATTTGAAGGATTGATGATGACGACATCTCTGTGACTACAGTTTGATATCAGTAGAGAATCTAACAGAAGTACCTGCGTGGAACTTCCTCGTCTGCGTATTTGACCGCGACAGAGTACGAGCCCTCGACAGACGGAGTGTATGCCACCGTGTGTGTGCCGTCACCATTGTCTGTAATGTTTACTGGTTCAGCCAAACCTGCAAACAACAACAACTTGGTTACAGTCATACAAAACATTCACTATTCTACAGTCATTTTTAGTACCCAGGTGATCTACTTAAATACTGCATTCAATAATGCAATCTTTTTGACTTATTAACTATGATTTTAAAGACATCATGTCATTATTTGTCATTATTATATATACAGAATAACCATATTATATATCACTAACCTAAACATGCAACACTACATACTGCTAGAAACATTTATTGTTGCATAACATTTAAAATAAATATATAAAAATAAATAGAAAGTAAATTAATAAATAAGTTTAAATTAATTAATTTAAATGTTCATCTATATACTGTGTGGCATGCTAGTATTTATGAACAAAGACCCCCAAAAAGAAAAAAAGAAATATAAATAATAAACAAACAAATTTTTAAGTATATACTGTGCAGTATGCTAGTATTCAATTCAGAGCAAAATAAAACAAAATAAATATATGCATAAATCCGAATGTGTTTTTACCTTTAGGTCCAGTTACGGCTACAGACAGAGGAGCGACACCAGCTTTGCTGCAGTCCACAGTGAAGGACTGTGGGATTTTAGCTCGCACTCCAGAACCAACACCAAGTCCAGATATCTTCACCTTACTGGAGTCAACAACATCCTTTACGGGCACTTTGAACGGGCTTCCTATAATGTGCAAACGAAAAGATAACACTTTTAGATTCAGACATTGATTAGTGTGTTCATGCAAGCTAACGCAACTCAAATGGAGCGATTATAAGATAAGACGTGTGCCCAAGGTTCATAAGAAACAGGAAGCAGGGGAAGAGACACACAAAACCAAAATCAAGGCCTCCAGCCAATTCTAATGAGTAATAATAATTTAAACAAGATTTTAGATGCTAGCATGTTTTATTTATTGCTATATACTTGCGTACGCGTTCTGAAAGACTTCGTAGTCTAATTAATCTCAACTTTCCAACAACTCTGTCATCCTCTAAAATATTGCTATACTCTTGATTTAAACAATCTGCATATCCATGTGGGAGAATCACACTATGTGGTCTTGGCACGCTGAATGTTTTCAATGAAACGCGAGCACATAATGTCCACCAGTGAGAATGTGGTAGCCTGCTCTCCTTAGATACGGGAGATTTGGTTTCCCGGGTGTAAAACTAATGAAAACTAATTTGCAGGATAGTTCAAGTAGTTTTGCAGGGGGAAACCGGGACTCCAGTTAAAAACATGCTTTCTTCAGGTCTGGACTTTATGTACCTGGAATGTGTTGTCCTCCATATGTGATGTTGACATCGTACAGACCAGGAACGTACGGGGTGTATTCCACATTACAGCTGCCATCTTTGTTATCTTTGCAGGACATTTTAGACTCTGATGGGCCTTCTACGGTTATTCCCAAACCACCAATACCAGCTCCTCTGTTCGGATCAGAAGAAGATGAAATGGTTATTTTAGGTTCTAGGTAGTATACAGAACAATATCTCCACTAGCGTTCAAAAGAAGTCTCTTATGCTCACCTCAAAACAGTAAAAAATGATGAAATATTACAATTTGTAATGCACATGAAATGGCATTGCATTTAATTTTCAAGTTAAGCTATTAAAAGGAATAGTTCACAAAGATTTAAATTATGTCATTAAAATAAAATATTTTTTTATATTTCATTTTATGTAAACTACTGTATTAAAACTCATGTTCTAATTATATATGTTACAATTTTGAGATTTTCTCAATAAGGCTGCATCAAACACAGTAAAACAGCTTTCTTAAATAACTTTATGTGAATATATAGTAAAATGATTTATTCCTGTGATCAAAGCTGAATTTTCAGCATCATTACTCCAGTCTTCAGTGTCACATGATCCTTCAGAAATTACTCTAATATGCTAATTTCTGATAATTATCAACGTTATCTTTTGTAACATTATAAAATATCTTTAGTATCACTTTTGAATGCATCCTTGCTAAATAAAAGTATACATTTCGTAACATCAAAAAAAAAAAATCTTACTGACCCCACACTTTTGAACCATAGTGTAGGGAAATATTATAATAAAAATAGAAAAAAATGTAAGATTTTTTAAAGCTCGGACACCTGGTGATGATTGAGAACTTGTTGTGTTTGTCAGTCAGTGCTTCTTCTAGACCCGGGCCCTTGGCCTGCACACGTGAGGGGTCACATCCATCTCCCACCCCGACCTGGAACGGGCTCTTAGGAACCGGAGTCTCATCGTACAGAATCTCCACACTGTGGACTCCTGCATTGAGTAGACACAAGAAAATTCACACTCCGCTTCTAAGCAACAAGCTTATGAAGCTTTCAATCCTCGTACTGAGTTCAGAGGTAGCAACTGTGACATCCAAGTGATGGGGAAAAATTAGCTCAATGGTTCAAAATGTATTAATATCATATTTCTTGCCTTCTTTTATCATGCATGCCTTAAAGATATGTATTGTAATTGAAATCCACAGTTGCAAATAGATAGTGTAATAAAACAAACACTTAAATGTGTATTTTGGATGTTTCTTTCCACTAGTCTGAAAGGAGGAAACCGTTCCAAAACCCCCAAACATGCATGAAAGAACAATGGCTTTTCCTGTAGTGTCTAGTGTCTTAATCAATCATTGCCGTGCCGTCGTTGAGGAATCATGAGCCTGTCACCTCACAAATGTGACCAAATAAGCTGTTTATTCTGGAAAGCTTTATTGCGGTTCTTCAAAATACACAAACTGTACAAGATGAAACCTGTAGCATTCCTGTAGCTTATAATTGCGGTTTCAATTCTCAAGGAACAAATGAACTGATAAAACATATAGCTTGCATTGCATTCATCTTGTCGCTTTGGATAAAAGCATCAGCCAAGTGTATAAATATACATGTATACCAGTGTTTGTTAGGAAGAAACATTTAAGTAGAATTTTGTGCATTATACCGTTCTCAAATGGTGTGTATTCCACGTTGTAAGTGCCATCGCCGTTGTCACTGATGGTGCAGTCTGTAGAAGCGCCTGATGGGTTCTTCACACGAGCTTTAATGTGTTTACCGCCAGTTTTGGTCAAAGCTCGTGCATCCACCGTGAAGTTAGTCGTGGCTTCTCTGAAAACTCCTGCAGACCAGAGAAGAAAAACACACAAAGATGAGAGCATTGACTTTACTGAAGACATTTCTCTTTGTAAAAATGGCATCGCTTTTGAAGTAAAATGGGCATCTTTCAGAAAATCGTTCGTCAGGCAAAGGGTCGTCTTGCACTGAAGGTGCAAATCTACAAATACAAATAGAGTGTGATAAAATAAACACTTAAATGTGTATTTTGGATATATTCTTTCAACTAGTCTGAAAGACGACAAGTTATGGAAGCAAAGTAGTCCAAAACGAAAGCCAAAGGAAAGAAGGTTCATTGATTCATGGAAGCCAACATCACCAAGGAAAAATCGTTAAGAAAAACATTTTCACAAACGTTTCCATTGGCTACAAGGAATATGACGCATTTGTCCTTACAAGTGAACATGAAGTGGCTTTTGTAACCCATATTCAATGAGAAAACCTTTGATTTTAGACGTCAATACCTTCTCCAGCAACTCCTGGTCCAGACACCTTCACTTTGCTGGTATCAACAGCTGGATCCACGTTCACTTTGGCAGGGAAGTTGGGAACCGTCTTCCCACCGTACTTCAGCTGTAGCGTGTACATGCCCGCAGTCAGTGGGACGTAGGTGACCGTGTAAGTCCCGTCCTTATTGTCCAGAACTTCAGTCTTTGCTTTCGCTCCAGAATCAGACTCGGCCTCCAGCGTCAACTGTCCAGGTCCAGCTTTGGTGCAGTCGACATTCAGCACGCTGATCTCACCAACCTTGCCTCGCTTCAGCCCGGAGCCGGACGCCACCACTTTGGTGGGATCGAAGGGGTACTGGATGTCAGCGTGGAAAGGCGAGCCGGGAATGTGGACGTCCTCGAAGAGAATGTTAACTAGGTACTCTCCGGGTTCGGTGGGGAGGTACGACACGGAGCAGGTGCCGTCGCCATTGTCAGAGCACTCAATTTTAGCTTCGGTTGGACCCTCGACGGTGAGCCCGAGTCCACCCGTGCCGGCGCCCTTGGTGTCGATGCTAAATTCAGCAGGGTTTGCTACAAGACCACCCTTCAATCCTGGACCAAACGCCTTGACCTGTACAGAGAGAAGTACATTGTAACAATCATTTTTTTTTTGTCTTCTAGGCACGTCGAAAGAACAGTACAAATCCACATGGGAAAATCTCAAGAGTAAAACTTGGAGTTGTGAAAAAATATGAAACACCGGTAGCCTGGTTAAAACCAGACCATTCTCAGTTGTAACCGAGTTACGGTCTGGCAAAGCATCATAGACAAATCATTTCCAGAGGGGCGTCACCAACGGACGCCGCGGATAGACCTAAACCCAATCAGAGCGATGAAGGAGATGACGTATGCAGAGCGGCGGAGAAACATCTCCGAGTGTTGTTCTTTGCTCGGTTTTTAACAAAAAGGAAACGTTCAAATCGCTTAAAACAGACGCGATAGCTGATTGGAACGAGTGATGTTCGACGGCGGCATCCATCTTTGTAATGTAGGCTACAAAATCTGCTTCAAAATCCCAGCGCTGTCGTCATCGTGTAAAGCCCGCCCCAACGTTTCTGATTGGTGCCTCGATTTCGACGGATTGGAAATGGGCTTGAATGAGCTCTTTGCCAGACTAACTTTCAGAGCAAATCTAAATTTGCCGGAAGTTGTCTGGGTTTTCCCAGGCTAATACACCAGTGTTTTCCCAGATGAAATGTTTATCTATGCATCATCTTTTTACTCTTTTAATTCATTTTATAACTGTATCATATATCTCTTGTAATTCATTTTATAACCGTTTTAATTTTACTTGCTTTTATTTTGTGATTATTTGAATTCCTTTGTGTAAAGCACTTTGAATTGCCATAGTGTATGAAATGTGCTTTACAAATAAACTTGTCTTGCCTTCTAAAAGAAATTAAATCATGCTTTGGTTTCTACATACTTTGCTGGGATCAGGAGGCAGCATGGCTTCAACTTGGAAAGGACTTCCAGGCACTGGATTGCCATCATAGACGACCTCCACCACGTACACACCCTCCTCTTTGGGGATGTACTTCACCAGACTGGCTGCTTTCCCAGGCTCCACCACGCAGGGCACGGCTTTCCCAGACGGGCCGGTGATCTTGACTTCCAGTTTGCCCTGTCCACCCGCTCCACTAGTACCAATGGCAAACTCTTGATCCTCACCCACTTGCACTCCTGAAATAAAACAAACAGTTTTTTTATTTTATTTTTTATTAACAAAAATCTAATTAAATTGAATATAAAAAAATGAATAAATAATGAATAAATAAAAATAGAAAAATAAATAAAATTATAACAATAAATAAACTTTTGATTATCCATTCCATCCAGTTGTAACTTGGATTAAATCTAAAATAAATAAATGCCTAAATAAAAACAAATAAATCCATAAATATATTTTATATATTTGACATACAATTTTCCAGGCCATCGACTTGGATCTTATTAAAACGCAATTATTAATTAAAATAAACAATTTAAGTAAACAAGAAGTAAATAAGTCAATAAATAAGTAAATAAACATTCAATATTCCATTAACTCCACTTTTATCTAAAATCAATAAATAATCATATTACATATATAGTATACATGACATACGATTTTCCAGGCCATCGACTTTGATCTTGTCAAGGTCAAGCGGAGCCGCAACACCAACAGCGAAGGGGCTTTTAGAAATCGGGTCACCACCGAAGGTCACGGTTATCACCATCTCCCCCTAAATTGGTACAGCAAACCAGAATTATGATGCCAGGAGATAAATCTTGAAAGATGTCCAATTTGCTGCTTCCAATTTGATGTTCCCTACCTGCTGAACTGGTGTGTACTTGACAGTCTGGGAATAGTCATAGTTGTCAATGATCTCAAAGTCTTGGACGGGCTGTCCTTTATTAGGTCCGGAAAACTGAACGTTCAGAGGAGCTTTGCCAGCTCCTTTGGTGTAAACGGTGAAGTGTGTTGGTTTTCCGCTCTCCACACCTGAGACGCCGCATGGGAAAATCGAACGAGAGACATGAGTCATCCAATTAAACCCAGATTCTTGATAAGATCAAACGCTTTAACAAACCTGCTCGGGCGAGTCCTGGTCCCTCTGCTTTCACTTTGGAGGCGTCATGTGAAGGATCCACTTTAACACGGAACGGACTGACTGGAATTTCCTGAATTTTAAATGAACACACCAATTGTTTGTAAAAGGATTCAAAAATAGTTTTTTTTCTACTAGACTCTACGGTGGTCACTCACTTGATCAGTAAAAAGGACTTTGATTGTAAGCCGTCCCGCTCCAGGAGGAACATACTTGACAGTGATGGTGTCATTGGCATTGGGAATGATGTCAAAATCAACATCCTCTTCCTTCTCACTGATAACATTAGCATCACACTTGATTCCAACACTTACATCACCTGAAAGATAGATAGATATATTGTTTTATTTAATGCCATGTTAGCATCCAAGGCTATTTTCATGGCAAAAAATTAAATTACAAAAATACAAATTCACCTGAAAGAAAAACTGTGTATAATTCACACATGAAAAAGCAGTGATTTTGGTGTACGCAGTAAACATGCATTACCTTCTCCAGCTTCTGTGCAGTCCACAGTGAAGTGTGTCGGCTCGTGAGCTTTCAGGCCGGTTCTCTCGATTCCTGGGCCAAACACTTTCACTTTGTGTGGATGGCTTCCCTTTCCCACACTCACCTACAGGAATAAAGTCTCCTGAATGTTAATTTCAGCAAGTAATGTTACTAGGGAATGAGAAAAAAAAACATCGCACATTCCGAGAAAGAAAAATAAATAAAAAGCAAATCAAGTCGTTTGATGCATTTTCAGGGCATAAAGTTGCTTTGACAAACAATTACCGTAGTATTATTAAAGTTAGTATTTGAGACTTTTACCCATTAGTCATTTTTCCACTTCATTCAAGACAACCGAGAAAATACAAATGAAACTCAAACTCACATAAATCACACGACGACATTAAAACATGAAGAATTAGAATTTATTGAAAGTGACATTTTAAAAACATGAATTCAGTCATTAATCAAACACTTAAATGCGTTATGAAAGTCCCTTTTCCCCTCCGCACACATTAACATGTTAGTACTTCGTTTGAACGCTGCATTTTTCCAGAGTCTTTAACATTTAGTGTTTGCATGAGCAGTCAAGCAAAAGCAAGTTCTGTTCTTTAAACTACGCAGTGAGTTTGCTTTGTGAAATGGACTGGAAGGACCACAAAAGCCTGATTATAGAGTGACATGAACAAATGATCATGTTGAACTCTGTAACACTATACTTATAAAGGAGCACTCCTTTATATATCCATGCATGCACTTAACGTTGATCATTATTAGTTCAGTCATAATGTTCTTCGCTATTTATTATAAATAAATAAAAATCTATATTAAATCAAGTTTGATAGTTTCTTTCAGTTTCATTCTTGACTTCTGGAAAAAAGCAACTCTGCTTGCAAACACCACAATGCAACATTTTACAATCATCGAAGTAGTCAGTGTTGTTATAATCTAATACAATCTGTGCAAAATTATTATGTCTGAAAATAACTTTCAAATCACAAATATACTGATTTTTGTGCTTTTGTAGTAACAAGCAATAATGAACGATTCTCTTATTGAGAGATAAAACAGACGAAAAGAAAAGTTTTAAAAGAAAACTAAAAGGCATTTAATTTGATCTGATTTATGATTAAAAATTGTATTATGTAGCAAAAAAATATATGTTTGCCAGTATTAAAAAACAAAGCGCTTTTGCTCATCATGCTCATCTTAAGAAACATGCAATGTAATCACAAATTAGCACTAGTAAACATTTTTTGTAATCATTTATCCTTGTTTTATTTCCTAAAGCCAGATCACCAATGTGATGTACCACATTAAGCATAAAAACAAAACGAACAGCTGAAATTATTTGACAGAAAAGCAGTGACGCTCCATAGTTATGGTGGTTATGATGATGACAGGTTTATATTTGGCAGTCGGAGTGTTAAGAGCATCAGCTTTAGTTAGTATGATAAGCTCCTCAACGGTGTTAGTGCCGACAGCTGAAGTCTCCTTTGTGTGTGTGTTAGCGGTTATGACCTCTGACTCTGTTGGTCTTACCCTGAAGGGGCTGTTGGGAACACTGACGCCTCCCCAGGTCACAGCCAGCGTGTGCTTGACAGCGGAGGTGGGTGTGTATGAGCAGGAGTAGACGTTCTCTCCTTTACTCTTCACCTTCACATCGATGGGGACGCCATTTGCATCCTGGGAAAACGAACCACATTAAAATGCAACATGGGTGAAGGTTCAACTCGCATTCAGTGCACACTCTTTAGCTGACGCTCGATCAAACCTGTGCAGTGATTATCAGGGGTCCGTTTCCCGCATCTTTGGCCTCGACGGTGAACTCAACCGGCTTGTTTATGATAACGCCGGACTTCTCCAATCCCGGTCCATAAGCCCTGACCTAAAAACACAACAAGAACATTTGAGAAAGACAAAACATGTTCTCAGTTGGTCATACAAAACTTAATAAATGCACGTGTCAAAGTACTTCATTTTGTGTTTGCTGGTTTTTGTTTGCACTTTGTACTAGACAAAAGAAAATAGAAAAAAATACTATTTTGTATTTTTGGGAGATTTTTGCGTTTTCAATAAATATTAAAATTAACCTGTTAACTGTCACCCCCCTTTTTTTTTGCATAGACATAAAAATCCCTATCCAAACTTAAATGGTTGTAATTCAGGAATGCTTTGGAATATAGACCTATGGCTGGTCTTGTTTTAAAGAAGACATTTTCCAGATTATTGTAGAAGTCTAGAAATGATAAAAAATGAAACAGAAAAAAGGTTATACAAGTTTGAGTTTATGAAATTGTGTAATGTAAAAATATAATTATTAATATTTTATATAAAATATATATATTACAAAATATATTTTACTCTAAAACTGCAAGAAAATTAAAGACAAAAATCTGAACAAGTTGTATTCCAAATTTTAGGTTGATATCTAATGAGCTTTCAGTAAGATTTTATTTGGGCGCAGTACCTAACTTTTTCACTAGACTCCATTACTGCCCATATAAGGGCGCCTCCATTTTCATATGTTTTGAGTGATCTGAACCATGTATTTCCATAATTTTCATACAATTTATGAAGTAGACATCCTATTCAGAAGTAGTATGGGTGGTTTGGCAGTATTTGATTTGAATTCAACCTCTAATAAATGCATAAAAAGACTACGTTATAGCGTTATAGCTCGCAGCCAATCAGAAATCGAGAATCTATACATTTTTCTTTATATTTAAAACATTTTCAGACCTTTTTTTCTCATAAAATGGAATTGGTGTTATCTTTTGAACTCATGGCATGAAAACAAACTGAGGTTTCTACCAATCTTTCATGATTTTTCATGTTTATTGTTATTTCAAAATAAAGGCCTAAATACTCCTAATGAATATGAAATATTCTTGTTGCAAATTGATAAATTACTGCTCCTCTGTAATTTATTTTAGATAACAGCCACCAAATATGAAAACTAGAGATTTGAAGCTTTCAAATGATATATAGTTTGGCAATATTACTTTAGGTTTTTACTAAGATATTATTGTTTTAAACATGCAATGGCAAATGCAGGTTAAGAGGTTAACAATTAAAAAAAAAACATTTATATAGTAATTACATTGAGGATTGAGAATCCCTTTGAGAATAAAATAACTTCACAATTAATGCAATTTAAAAAAAAATATCATATTGTGGCAGTGTAGTACCAACTCTAATAAAATTAACAAAATTACAATAAAGAGAATCACTAATAATAATTACAAAAATTCAGGGAAAAAAATCAGGATATACTATAATAATAATGAGAAATTGTGGTGGAAATGTGCTTAATTGTCATGAAAATAACGTCTTTTTTATATATATGGCGTATATATGTGAAGTAAATGATTTTTTTCCACCGCATTTACCTGGTTGGGGTTGTTGGCTTTGTTATCAGGGACGATGTAGGCCATGAAGGGACTGTCTTCGATGTCTTCATCATCACACATGACATGGACGGCGTACTCGCCTGATTCAGTGGGCCAGTACTTCACATTACACGAGCCGTCATTCTGATCTTCACACTCAATCCGGGCCTGAGACGGACCCTCAATGGCGAAGCCTACAGAAATAAAGTATTCAGATCAGAGGCTGGCAAAACAGGCTGGGGACTCCTGAGCTAAATGTGTCTACAGTAAATGTCTATGCTGATCTGATGTGGTATAAAGCCTGTAACCTTACCGAGGACTCCGATGTCCGTCCCGATAGATTCGGCCACAAAGTCCGCAGACTTGCCCACACTGCCTCCCTCCAGACCCGGACCCCACGCACGGATCTTCTGGGGTCCAGCTTCATTGCCCACCTGAACCTCGAAAGGGCTGGACACAAGAAAACGTCACATTTATATATAATATATACACACACACATACACACACACAGTGAGTTCATGTTCAGACAAGACTTCAATACAAAAATCTAAAGAAAAATAAATATATTTTGCATAAGCATATTGTAGGACCCTTAAGCTGTCATGCATTTAATTTCTGAAGAACATGTGACATTATTTCTGTAAAAATAAGCAAATGTTGATGAAAATCTTTTGTGATGCAATTTTTTCTCTTTAAATTGTGGCAATGCAATCCATGCACTGCAGATTTAAACAATTAAAAAAATAATAATAATAAATACAAATAAATAAACATTTAGAAAGTAAATATAATGAAAGCCTGAGAATAATAATAATAATAATAATAATAATAATAAACTTTAGAAGATATTTAAATTTTTAGCAATGTGTAAATATATGCAAACAAAAAAAGAGACATTTAAATGTAAGTAAAAAACAATGAGAAAAACTTTGAGAATGATAATCAGGAAAAAACAATGCATTACAATGAGAATTTTTGGGGGAAATGTCATGAAAATTATGTCAAATTGCAGAAAATCTCAAAGGTCAAAAAAAAAAAAAAAAAAAAAAAAAAAGCTTTGTCGTCTTTATGCTAAATATACCTTTTTTAAATGTTATATTCCTAATTTGAGGTGAAATAAGGTCTGAAAGACAACTATAAAGATCAGCAAAATGTTAAATATTCAACAATATTATTATTGTTGTTAAAAAGGGCTGAACACAATTATTAATATTCAACAATATTATTGATTTGGCTGCACTGACACTATTGGAAGAGAACTGGACGATGCAGAACTGATTTAAAGGATGAAATTAACTAATTTAATAATTGATGATCTTTAAACAGGAACTGAATCTACACTGAATGATGACACGATTTTCATTTTCCGGTTATCATTATGAAGCTGCTTTGAAACAATCCGTACTGTATAAAGCACTATAGAAATAAAGGTGACTTAGTTTAAATCCCCAAATGCCCATTATGTGTCAAATGAGCATATATCTAAACACCTTATTTAAACAAATGTGTGTTAAACCTGACAGCTTTAGCGGCACATACAGTTTGAGAGAATGTTCCCTTACAGATCCGACCACACGTCATAAATCTGCGCTCGGACTCTACATTACCGGAAACCTCCCATCAAAAAGAGTTTGTGTTAATAGAAGCAACCTCAGCGGGGCGAATATTTAACTTTAATAGGGGTCATGTCTGTTTCCCCATTGTGTTTGAGTGTAAGACTGAGGTCCAGGTGAACAGGAGGGTGATTGAGTGAAAGAGACAGGCTCGCTTTAACACAGTCATTTAGTCTCCTGCAGCGCAGTGATCTGATTGGCTGACACTCCGGGATGCATGTGATCACCAGAAAGCGCCCATCTGCACGTTAATACCACAGGCCACACACAGTGCAGTCTTATAAAACCTCAAAAAAATGTGAAAAACATCTAAAAAAGGTGCATTTTTAGTGCTGCAGCCGCTTTATAACAAAACTAGCATGTTCTCACGCTGAGCGAAAACAAATCCAACTGAAAACGCAGCTGTCATTTCCGTTCCACAGTGTGTTAAATAAGATGTTTACTCTATATGGTCCACATTCATCAGCTGGCTCATGAATGTGATTAAACATCTACACGGATTAACGCACGCGACGGCCGTTTCCTGGTGGTCTCGTGTGACGCTGCGTTTCCAGACCTCTAACAAACACTCACACAGGAGAGCATGTCGTCATACTGCTTTCCACGGCCAAGGGTTACACACGAGCCAAGGGTTACACTCTAATGAGTCTTCCTGGCAGTGCACACCACCTACATATCATACTAGCGGTGGGCGGCATGACCAAAACCTCATACAAATTACAAAAATAAAATTATTAATGTTATGTTAACTGGAAATTCAACCCAGGTTGATATATTTTGCACCAGTGTTATTTGTATACTATAATAGTATTTAGTAATATTTTAAATGAGCTTTTATTTCCATGTTATCAGTTTCTTTTTAGTTGGTTTTAGATATTTGTATGTGCTTTTGACATTTTTATAATTTTTATTTATTTATTTCTATTTAGCTTTAATTCATTCTTTTTTTTTTTTTTTGAGTGATTTTAATAAATGGAAGCTTGTTTCTGCAGCTTGAAACTTGACTTCTCAAAATTGCACAATAGCGAGTTCTCACAATTCTGAGAATTTTTTTTCTCGAAATGGCGACTTGACTTCTCGGAGTTGCACAATTCATAGTTATATCTCACAATTCTGAGAAAATATTGTGAGAATAAAAAGAATCGAGATATAAAAAGTCACAATTCCCTCTTATTACATGGTGAAAACAAGCTTCCATAATTTTAGTATTTTAACCGAAATAAAACAAGTTAAAGGCAACATTTATCATTTTAATTTATTTTTAGATTTTCATCTAATATTATATCTTAAGCTTTTTTTCCAATAAAGGGGAAAAAAAATTAGGTAACAATTTAAGTTTTAGGTAACAATAATATAATGGTTTGTCCTTACATTATATACTTTTAATAACCCACTGAATTAAATACTATACAAATTAAGTCATGTAGTATATACTCCGTCATAGTCTTACATCATACTCAACATTAAACCCTTTCAGATGTACGAACAAGCCTTTTGCAATCATAAAAAAACCCGGATGACCCTTAAATGGAACAATTTGAATAAAATAAATCCAATCTTTATTCAAATCACAGAACATGCACCGACTATCTATAGCACGGTCTGTTCTGACTTAGACCAAACACACATGTTTACCCCAAACCTCATTTGTTTACATACGGCTTTGCCTTTATACCAAAACAACCCTGATCAGATTTATCCGGTTGGCAGCTCTAAATAACACTGATGCAACGAGACACTGAGAACATCTGGAGCTGATCCACTTCAACACGATTGGTAGCACCACAACTGCAGAGCATTCGATCAGATTTCTCTGACCTCAATGGTCTCGTACGTGAAGTCGCTCTGGCCTTATATGTGAAAGCAGCACGAGTTTTAGAGATCTGATTGGTTCAGGAGGTGCTCACCTCTTGGGGATGTGCTGTCCGGCCCAGGTAATGGTGACGGTGTATTTGCCAGGTGTGTGTGGATAGTATTCATATGCGTACACACCATCTGAGATGTCCTTCTGTTTCACAGGCTCCTCTAGACCTTCTGCAAGAGAACAAAAAACATGGACAATTTAATCACAAACTATTAGAGAAGAATAAGAGATGTTAACATCCCCTGCATTTTCCCCATAGATACTTTACTATAAATCATACACTGAAGATTATGATGATAAATCGGGATCGCCTTTGCTCAAAGCCCCTTCGAGTCCAGTGCAAATTCCAAAGAGATAAACTTGAGTCATGCACGTTATAGTCGGGGTCAGTGAAGCATCTGTGACCCGGTCGGGTCATTAATCACAGTCAGTGAAGCTGACGTTTGACCTGCTGATGTAAATTGATATGGGTAGCTGGTGCCATCTGGGCAAAAAAGTCTGGGAAACCCTCCCTGCTCACTCCAAATACACAATCAACATGAAAAAGTGCCATGCTACTAACATGATCATTTATTACCGAAGATTAATAGATCAGGAGACATGGGGAAGGATTTTAAAGAGAGGAAAACTAAGGGTTTTAAAAGTTTTGTGGTCAAGAGAGTAAACGTTTTTTGCTTTATTGTTACTTACTGGTAGCCTGGCTAACGTCAGACCACGTCTCAAGTCTGGGAACCACATGTTAATTTTCTCGTATTTGAGGCGTGGTTTATGAATGCCCAGAGCCGTTTATTGGGTGCTACGAATGTCTATCAAATGCGCATGTACGTAGCTCATAGCCAATCGTTTAAATTATACCAGATGACGTATGTAGAGCAACAGAAATTAGACGAGGAAGACAATGGGTCAGATTTATTTGCGTTCTAAACTACTTAGAACAATATCCAAGGCTGCATTGAAAGGTAACTTCACGTCTGCTGCCATGTTGGATCCATAGGTATAAACAAACTGCTTCGGTGTCGCATAGACGTCGTCATCGTCTTGCTGCTCCCTCCCCTCCTGTGATTGGTCCCCTCGCTGAGGCGAAAATTTGGTCAATGGCATCCAGGCTGCCTAGCAGCGTGAATAAAAATCACGCTGCGCAAAGGCAGCATGGGGAAACCCAGGCTAACTTACTGGGTCCTTTAACGGTGACCTTCAGATCTCCACTTCCAGCGTTACGAGTGTCCACCTTAAAATCCGCCACCTGTCGTGATCGCACACCTCTGGGCTGCAGACCTCGTCCAGTGGCACGACACGCACCGGGAACAGACGCTGAAACACAGGACACATGACAAGACACTGATTTATTGGACATTACAGCGAATTATTAACGTGGCAAAAAATTTCATTACAAATAAATAAATCTATATAACATATACTTTATGTATCTATGTACCCATGTATGTATGGTTTATAGTATAATTTAAAGTGTGTAATATATATATATATATACATACACACACTTTTTTACATTATATGTACTAATATATACATTTTATATAGTACATATAGATAGTATAATTTAAAGTGTATATATACACTTTACATTATATGTACTAATATATGTATATCTATTATGTACTATATAAAATGTATATATTTGATAGTATAATTTAAAGTGTGCATATATACTTTTTTACATTATATGTACTAATATATGTATGTATATATATATATATATATATATATGTACTATATAAAATGTATATATTAGTACATATAATGTAAAAAAGTATATATACACACTTTAAATGCATATATATATATATATATATATATATATATATATATATATATATATATATATATATATATATATATATATATATATATATATATATATATATATATATATATATATATATATATATATATATATATATATATATATATATATATATATATAAATATATAAATTTATATAATGCATGTACTTTATTTTATTCATTTTATATATGAAATAAAGTGGTAAACAGTCCAAACACTAGAACATACAGTATAAAAACAACAATATATATTCACTATAATATATTTTCTCATTAAAATCTTCACCCCAATTTCTGAATGTGGTTAAAGAAAATTAACATCTTGGCATGTCTGTACAGCCAATCAGGATCAAGAATCTAAAATATGACGTGGTATAAGCTTAAATCACCCAAAACCCTCTCTTCTGGCAGCCTGCAGAGCTGCTGTTTTCATCTCAAGCTCCGTGAGATCAAAAACCCTTCTGCGTAATACCAGACATACAATTAAACACTCCATTATTACCCTACCATTATACATTATGAAGTCCTGTAATGTTTCCAGAACACCAGAATAGTGTCCACAGAGAGCGAGCCAAAACCCACATTCAGTGTAATAGCATCTTTGCCGGAGAGTGAGGTGGATCCCCGTTCTGCTCTCTCATTAGCTTCAGATGTGCGTCAGGGTGGAGCTGGACAGCCGAGTGCCATTGAGACACAAAGCTTCATTCATCCTGAGCTTAAAACACTGGCCGTCGTGACGGAAACACAAATATAGACTCACTTTATGATGTTAAACTCTAAAAATACACCCTGTCAGGAGCACAAACCTAAAGAGTCGTCTGAACATTGATGTTTCATAAAGATGCTGCAGAGAATATGCATCTATTTTAATGCATGCTATTAATTTAATTCTATTTCCAGGTATATTTATTCATAGTAGAGTTTAGGATTAGGAAATATCAAGAGTTTTTTTTTTTTAAACATTTTGTGTGCACTTAATGGATTTATGAAGCTCTTTAATTTGCTTGTGAAACGTCCTGAAATAACATCTCGCGCAGTAAAAGTAAAAATATCTGTTCAAATGCATAAGCCATTTTCCTGTGGGTCTCGTTTGGGTTTACGGCACATGTGGCTGATTTCCTCGTTCAGTAGTTCACGTGTTCTGGTTCCTGAGCTCATGCTCATCAAACCCTGCCCACTACAATTGCTTTAAAAATCGACAGGATCCTATGGGAACACTAAAGCTACTGTCCGTACAAAACCACACAACCATGAGTTACAGCGGGAAGAAAATATAGAGCTGATGCATGAAATGAAAAAAGAAAAGTGACTGTTATAGGGGAACATGAACCGGGGGAAAAAAGACTCCAGATTTCCACTGTGCTTGAACAATTTGGCGATTATGTATAAGAATGTATCTAAAATAATATTACTTGTATAATAATAATTTGAGATGCACACAAGACACGACTCGTGTGGCATTAGTTTTAAAAAAGAAGAAATCATCCAATCCACATCACAGGATTCAACAATGTTGCAAACAAATTGCAAAAACAAGCCTGTAAAATCAGGAGCATGATAGCGTTTAACTAACTATACAGGAAAATCAATTAAAGTTAAAATAGAACTGCTGCACATTACCTGCTTTGGAAAAGGGGTTTCAGGGAAAAGGAATTTGGTGTTTTACAAGGTTTAAAGCATTTAGTGACGCACAGATTCACTAGTCCACGTCGCATGCAGAAAATAGACAAAGTGTAGCAAGGACTGCACAGAATGTCTTTTTGTAGCTTCAGAAATAACATCTAAACCAACAAAAAGTGCATGAAAAAGAAATGCATGAATAAAACCATATATTTGAGTGTCAACTTGTATCTCCAGTTCTGAGCACGGAAAACAAACACCATTCTAATGGTCTTAGGATAAAAGAAAATGGAAATGAAGGCTGACCTTAAATGGCACGACGCGTCAGTTTTTAAGAAGCTGGCGGCATCACACACACCACAAACGAGTGCTCTGGTGAACTGCGGCTATTTTACACGCATTTTATAGCGTGTTGCAGAATCCCATAACTACATGCAATTACTAGAGTCTTTCCTTCAGCAACAACACAACCGTATGAGGCAATCCACACGTCTGAGACCCTAAAACACAGCGCTAATTCACTTAACTTTACAATTATAACCACCACATTGCACTGTTTAATGAAACACACTAATAAACTCTTCCATTTCTTGTTCCAACAGTGTGACTAAACTAATTGCATGCTCAGAAAGAGGGCGCTGGGTAAAGTACCTGGGCCGATTGTGACGGTGAAGGGGCTTTTAGGGATGGCGATGCCTCCAAATGTAATGTTGATGATGTGAGGACCGGCCTGCACTGGTTTGTATGTGCACCGGAAGATGCTTTCACCCTTGTCCTCCATGATGGCCTCCACAGTGTTTTTATTACCCAGAGGGTCTTTAATGACGGCAGTCACGTCACCCACTCCGGCACCTGATTAACACAGAGACTTCAGGACTTGTTTTCTTTAAGAAAATGATCCCATAACCAAGTCAGAAATGTCAGACCTGCAGTGTAGATGTCAAAGTATGTGGGTTTGTTGGCCACGTTGCCCAGCGGCTCCAGTCCGGGTCCTTTAGCCGTGACTTTAGTGGGGTCTCCCTGGGCTTTGTCCACGTTCACCTCAAACGGGCTCTTTGGGATTTGCTGTCCAGCGAAAAGCACAGTGACCTGAGGATTGCACAAATAATGTGAGTCTATATTTCACAGAAAAGTGAATGGAAACAGATTTATTTACACATAATAGACGGACTGTTTTTACACATATACGCCTACATGGCTCTTGAAACATGCGAATGTGCTGAACGGGACGACAGCATGAAAAAAAAAACAGTTTGGACAAGAACAATAGATCAGTGATTCCCAAACACGGACTTAAAATGACAAAAGAAGCCTCTTCTGCTCACCAAATTTGATCAATTATTTGATCAAAAATACATTGTAATATTTCACATCGTTACTGTTTAAAAAAGCGGTTTTCTATTTTTAATGTAAATATATAGTAAACTATAATTTATTCTAAAATCTGAATTTTCAGCATCATTACTCCAGTCTTCAGTGTCACATGATCCTTCAGAAATTATTCTAATATGATGATTTGCTGCTTAAGAAAAATTTCTGATTATTATTAATGTTGGAATGAGTTGTGCTGCTTCATATCTTTGTTGAAAACATGACATCAGGATTATTTGATGAATTTAAAGCATTTATTTGAAATAAAAATATTTTGTTAATCAAATTTGATACATTATAAATGTCTTTACTGTCCCTTTTGATCAATTTAATGCTTCCTTTTTGAATAAAAGTACTAAATCTTTTTTTTCTTTTTTAATCGGACTAACCCTAAACCTTTGAATGGTAGTGAATCACGTTTTCCACAGAAATATTAAGCAGCAAATTGATCATAATTATAGACAATTGTAGCACTGCTTTAGATTGACGGTTTCACCCTGACCTTGTGCGGTCCCATGACCTGAGGGATGTACGTCACGCTGAAGGTCTTTTTGCCTTCGTTGAGCACAGGTTTGACTTCTTCTCGTCGGCCCTCGGGGTCTTCAACATAGACCATGACCTGCCCTTGACCTGCGCTGAAGGTGTCCACCGTGAACACAGCCGGACGCATCACCCGATTCCCGGTCGGCTCAATACCTGCAAACACACAGAGAGCATACAAAATAAAAAATCATTTAGGTCTACGCAGAGTTGAGACCCATTCACACAAAGGAAGATCACTATAACAATATAATAAAAATCATTCTAAATGTAAAAGAAAACCACATCTATGACGGTAACAGCACAGCGTAACATGCGAGAATGAACCTCATTGGTTCGTGCACTTCAAGCGAATATGCTTGAGCATGAAAAAGCTCTGCAAAGTTACAAAGTCTCTCCAGCGCGAGTGATTCTTCTCTATATCAGCGCCCTGAAACGCCTCCGGGAACGAACCTAAATATTCCTCAATTAAATAATTCCCGCCCAAGGAACACTCTAAACTTGCGGTTATGGTAAGGGTTGATTAAGCATGAAAACCTATTCTAGTAGAGCCCAAAAACAAAATCAAGACTTTGAAAAGCGACATAATCGATCCCCTTTAATCCTCTAATTTATGCACAAAAAGAAACAAATATTAGATATCATCAGATGTTGGGCAGAAACCACAGCGGTCAACACAAACCTGCATGTTCATCAGAAAAGTTACTTCGTAATGGTCTAAAAATACTCCTTTTAGTTTTTAGTTTGAGGCAAACCGCACAAAACCCCACAAACACACAGGCCCTCTGAGCTCATAAAATCCTTGATTTCCAAACAGTGATTCAATTTACCACTGAAATCAAAAAGTTCTCCACAGGGAACATGTGTGAGTTAAGAAACGAGTTTAGTTTGTGCTTTCAGAGAGGACATAATCACTTAATGGAAAAATAACATAAATCTGACATTTTCATTCTCTGCTGTAAATTATATGGTTGTTCAAAAACAGAGGTGAAGATTTCCCAAGACCACAGACGTCACAACCAAAAACCTTGTGGTTAATTTTAGTAAGTTTTAGAGGTCACCTCTGGTGTGAGAATCATAACTCTTAAACTCACTAGCCACCGTTTTTACAGCTTAAGCCACATTTACAACAGGTAAGAGGCACATTTCCACTCCATCCATCACAAAACCTGACAGAGCTGTGCTTTATTCACACGGTACTAATGTATACAACCAAACCCAATATTAACAGCAAGCAAGACACATCACAGATCGACGCAAGGGAAAATGTTGATCTTAAAAACGATCTCGTCACGCTACATAAAGTATCACAGTATAATCAAAGTATCTGAGAAAGTCTCTGATCGTAACGCTCCATTTAAAAAAGGTTCATGAGAATTACAATAACCTGAAACTCTGGAATGACGACCTGAATCGATGTGAATCTTAAACATATCTAGGCGTTTCGTAGATAACGCTAGGAGTTACTATGCACACAAACACGAGAGCGCTTTCATAGATAACGCTAGGTGTTACTAGGCAATACATAAACACGAGAGAACAGGAATATTCGTAGGCTAAAGCGTCTCACCTGGGCCGTATGCGCGCGCCTTCTTGGGGTTGAGTTTGGGTTTGAGAGGGGCTCCGGGCTTCAGTTTGCCTTTCGGGAACTGTGACAAATATGTCATAACTGACTGCTCATCCACACTGGGGTCAATGATCTCCTCTGGAGCAATAACCTGGAATGACAGACAGTGTTGAAGGCGAAGCGCTTGTGCAAAAAAGCGAGACTAGTAGGTTTCTCCTGAAGAGTGAAAACACAGTTTATAACAACGGTAGGCTTGAAGTTTGGTGGGGTGTGTTGTGTTATAAACTGTGTTTTCACTCTTCAGGAGAAACCTACTAAACCTACGCAAACTCTGCAATCAACATACACCAATGCTACATTTTTCTAAATGTCAATCATTTGTTAACAAACATGTTATCATTACTTTAATGAGCTCATTGTTTCTGCCTTAAATGATGACATCGTTTAAATTAAAACATTTTTAGCTAACTGTGATTTTGTATACAGGTGAAACTCGAAAAATTAGAATATCGTGCAAAAGTTATTTCAGTACTTCAACTTAAAAGGTGAAACTAACATATTATATAGACTCATTACATGCAAAGTGAGATATTTCAAGCCTTTATTTGTTATAATTTTGATTATGGCTTACAGCTTATGAAAACCCCAAATTCAAAATTAGAATATTGTGAAAAGGTTTTCATAAGCTATAAGCCATAATCGTCAAAATTATAACAAATAAAGGCTTGAAATATCTCACTTTGCATGTAATGAGTCTATATAATATATTAGTTTCACCTTTTAAAGTTGAATTACTGAAATAAATGAACTTTTGTACGATGTTCTAATTTTTCGAGTTTCACCTGTATAATGTACTGTACATTTCTGAAACGCATAACTTAAACAGTTACGTCTGATAACAGATCACTCTAAATTATAATGTGGACTCATCATTTCAAAGCAGCTTGCAGAGAGTGCATGTGTATTGTGAAAAGCGCTATACAAATAAATGTGAACTGAATTAAATTGAATTAATGAAAAATCTTCTGCTTCACGAGTATGAAAATCATGCACATGTAATTAAAGTGGATCAGCGAAACACACGTGTGTTTGCTGAGGAGTGATTGAGGTGTGGTGAGTATCATATTAACTTGGAAGCAAACACAGCGTGTATTACTAATGAATGTGTACATGCACGCCTAACCCAAGGCCCTTATTCTTATCTGAGGATGATATTGAGCTGTTGAAGAGAACATGGTATACTTTGTAATCACGCCCTTTACAGTACTGGCATAGCAACAGATTTGTGGCACCTTAATGCTGAGTAATTAGTCTCATCCTGGGGTTAAAGGTCACGGGCTCACCTGTGGAATTCCCAGCCAATCATCAGCGAGCTGCATGGCCTCCGTGGCGTTCTCCACTGGCTTATTTGAGTCCCAGATCTCCCAGTCAGGACACAGGCCTTAAAAAAACAAATTTAAAACTCCTGACCCAAGTATAAGCAATATTTAACAGTCAGTCTTGGCAAATACCACTAATGATGCAATATAAGTACTAAATGTGACAGGAATATTGCAAAGCTTGAAGCGTTTTTATAGAATTATCTAATGATTATAATAAAACATGCACTAAAAGGTCCTGAATTACGAATAAGAATACATTAAAGTCCCCCTGTGGTGAAAATCAAGCTTTTAAGTGTGGTTTATGTGTCTATGTGGTGTTTTTAATACGCTTTAAGACAAACCATGTGTAAGTTCATAAGTCGACAGCATTACTGAGTATTTTCTGCTTAAAACTGCAGTGAACCAAAGACAGTCTCAAAATCACGGTTTGAAATCGCTGGTGTTTCTGACGTCACAAACGACCTTGTAACCAATCAGATCAACGTGTGATCGTCAACCAGTGGATCTCTCAGCCGAGTGAGTGAGTGAGTGGAGGCGGGGCTCATTTGCATATTCATAGAACCACATATAATAAATAAGGCATGTAGAGTTATATTCAAGCTAATGTTTTTTCCTTGATGACCAAAGGTGAGTTAAGGGATACAATTATTGAATACAGGGGACTTTAATGTTTTAAACACAACAGAAATGTTTCGCACAAACAGTTCTGGACTTATTCACAGATGTGTTTTGCCAGTCAAATCACTATCTAGATAAACAGACCAAACGAGCCCAGCTGTCCAATAAACAACAATAGCTGCACGAATGAAAGGCTTTGCATACTAACACCTTTCCCCTCAGAGAAGATTACAAGCTCTGAATCCTCACCTGGAGCGCAGCTGTCCACCAGAGCTCCCAGCGCCCTCCCGTTCCTCCAGTCCTGACTGAAGTTAGTGATGGGAAGGTCCGCCACTTTGTTCTGGATCCAGCCGAGCAATCTCTGCTTGGGCGTCTGTTTCTTGGCTTCGCCGTCGTCTTCGTCCTCCCAGACGGGCATGGAGATGGAGTAGTGGAGGATCAGGGTCCATATTAGACCGAGGATCAACTTCAGGTTCCCGTCCACAATCGCTTTGCTGTCTGTTGGGAGGCAGAAAGGAGGTTTAAAAGAATAAGAATAAACAAGCAAGTAAATAAGTGCTGAAATCAAAATGATAAATAAAAAAAAGCAAATAAATAAACTACTAACTAATAAACAACTTAAATGCATAAGTGACTCAAAGAAACAAATAAATAAAACAATCAAATAAAACAAAAATAAGTCTAATAAATCAAATAAACAATCAAATAATAGTCAAGTAAATAAATAAAACAAAAACAAACATTCAAATAAATAATAAAAACAAATAAATAAATAAACGAAACTAGCAAACAATACAATTAAATAAAACAAAGCAAACACTTAAATAATCAAATAAACAAATAAATCAAAACAAACATTAAAATTAATTATTTAAATAATCAAAACAAACAAACGATAATAAAAATCATTAAATAAATAAAAATCAAAGCAATCAAATAAAATAAAATCAAATAATTTAATAAGCAATCAGACAAAAAAAAAAGCTGGCTTTGGCAAACATCACTAATGACACAATGTAGTGGAGCAGTAAATGTGACAGGAACACTGTACAGCCTGCAGTGTGTGTAATGGGCAATAGTAATAGTAATGCTTTTCCTAAGCAAACAGTGACTAGACTAATAAATATGGGGGGGGGGATGGGGGGGTGGGGGGTAACATGTTTGTAAATGACTCCACATTTTATCAATAGCAGAGAGAATGAGATTGTGGGTTGTGTGACCGGTGCCGGACAGAAAACACCTTATTAGATCAATATTACACCCGTCAGAGAGGAAGGTCAATTTGATTCACTGGAAACCAATCTGGGACATCTCTGGCTAATCATATCATATAACAGGTAATAAAACGTTGTTGAAAATGAATTTATTATACAATTAAAATATCTTGTGCACTTCTGAAGAAAATAAACGAGATTAAGATGTGTTTAGTTCCAGTATGGTCATCAGCAGTGAGCACTGAGGCAGAGAGAAGGCTTTAGCACACTTGATATTATTCCAATACGGACAAAGCAAATGTTTCCAGGAGGAATCACAGCTGTGAGTGATTGTTAACTCTCCACACATCATCACGGTCGCGACTCGTTAACAGTCCATTCAGAAAAGCAGACATTGCTGCTCAAAATGCTGTTCTTATGTTTGCTGTTCTCATACATGCTCTCCCGCTGAAGTCTGTGTCTGTGTCTGTGTCTGTGTCTGTGTCTGTGTCTGTGTCTGTGTCTGTGTCTGTGTCTGTGTCTGTGTCTGTGTCTGTGTCTGTGTCTGTGTCTGTGTCTGTGTCTGTGTCTGTGTCTGTGTCTGTGTCTGTGTCTGTGTCTGTGTCTGTGTCTGTGTCTGTGTCTGTGTCTGTGTCTGTGTCTGTGTCTGTGTCTGTGTCTGTGTCTGTGTCTGTGTGTCTGTGTGTCTGTGTGTCTGTGTGTGTGTGTGGACCGCTCCCTCTGCCTGCAGTATCAGTCGTCTTCTGCAAACATCAGGAATGGAGCTGAACTTTAGCACACAGGAGCAAAGCCAAAGATCAGGGGAAATCTGACAAGAAACTAAAACTAACCAAGACTGAAGTTACAGTTTGGCATTCAGGTTTGTGTTGTGTATGGTTTTATCTATTCGTTTAAAAATGTAAAAAAAGAAAATACTAAAACTTAGTGTACACATATTTCTACTCTTTCTCCCTTCTTATTTTTTTTTCAATATTAAAATATTGCTTAAATTAAATGCATATTTCATATATTATATTTTTTATTGTATATTTTGTATATAAATTTTACAAATGTTGATATTTATATTACGTTATTTCAATAAAAATATAAGTGTGTATTTGTAAATATATTACTTTTTTTATTTAATTAAAATATATGTAAAATTCATATAAAATAAACAATTAGAAATATAATATATGTTATTAAATTAAATAATGCATATTTTAATATAATTAGGCAAAATTTATATTTTAAAATATATTAAAACACAAACATATATGATCATATTAGATCAAGTATATTAATATTTTATAATTTCATATCTATAATTGCATATATAAATTAATATATATATATATATATATATATATATATATTATGTATACAAGCGTGTGTGCATAATATATATATTTATTATGCACACACGCTTGTATACATGCATATATACATATACACAATTTTTTTTTTTTTTTTACAGTTAAAAAGATATTGATTTTGTTAACTACTTTTTTAATAGTTTGTTGTACAAATGCATGAAACGCAGGACTGACCCAGTGACCGCTCTAAACTCTATGGATCAGTCGATGCCGCCACTGGTGCGCCGAGCCAGACGAGGAATGTTCTGGCAGGGTTTGAGGAGCCTGGAAACAAGCTCAGCGCCAGACAGGGGTTCAGTGCATCTCTGGACGGCCCAGCATCATTCATTAGCACTGAACAAAACCTTCCCGGCTTCCCGAGGCTCCTGCTTAATGGGATCTCCATAAGGACCTCGCACAGGGACGCCTCAACAATAGAACCACACGACTTCAGGGAACAGAAGAATGAAGGTTGCCATGACAGCAAACTCCTTCATGAATAATAGATGAACAGCAGAAAGTTTCGGAAAGTTACTGAACAAACACACACAGAGAGAGAGCGTAAACATGGTGTTTAGATGCGGTTCATGCTGGGCTTTAATTGAGATGTACAGCGATACAGTAATGAGGTGTTCCTCGCAACGCAACAAACAGAACGTCATCTGGGCAAGTCATTGGAGGTCAGTTGAGGAAAGACCAGGAAATCCCAAGGAAAATCCTGCCTTAAAGCACTCAATACTACAAGCATTTCCTACATGACAGGAAAATCTGAGATGGTCCCTTTAAAACTGCTTAAGATAATAACGGGCTGAGACAAGTGCTTGGAAATACACCAACACATCTGCGTATCTGTTAGTTGATCCTGCGATTCCATTAGTCTCACTATCAGAAACACTCATTCCAACCGGATGACATCCAACGAGGACACATCCAAACAGATGGCTAAAAACCGTGATTACAAAGTTGTCCAAAATTGTATCCAAACACTGACATAATCCAATTACGAGAATACACAACCGATCATTGCATGTTACACCCAGAAATGAGTCAGTATGATCTGAGAGCACACAAAAAAACACATTACACATGCACTAACAGTATTAGCACAAACTGAAGATACAGAGCATCACACACAAGAGAAGGAAGTGAATTTACCAAGAAAAACAAGCAAAGCTTGGAGTTAAAGAGGCCAGGTTAAATCAAGGTCAAATCACCGTTTTGTTGACTGAGATCCAAAATAACTGCGTTTAATCAAATATAGCTTATACTAGCCGAGACTCCTTTATGTGTACAGATGTGACGTAATGACGCAAAGACATGCTCGAATCTCCCGCGGAAATCCACCAGTACCACTGGAGTTAAAAACATTATTACAAGCTTACCGTTTTGCATCGAGCTAAGGCAAGCAGATAGTTTTGAACACTGGCTGGTTATGTATTTTATCAAATATGTATTTTGGATAATTTTTAACCCAAAAAAAGCTACGGACAGCAGCTTTAAATTTATTTAAAGAAATTCATTTATCCTTTTTCTTGACATATGTTTGAAAATCGTCCTCCGTAACCAAAAACTACCTTGAATCTAATGCTATCACACATTTTTAAATACAGATTCAAATACCTACACAAATCACCATGTGGTTTAATCCCTCAAAATGGTACCAATCAACCCTCTGTCTCACAGCCTAAACAGGTTTTATGCTTGAATGTTGATTATTTTCCCCATATTCTCCATTGTTGCGGCTCCTCTCTTCCCAGTCTGTCAGTAACGCTCTGTTTAGTTCCTGTTTCTATGAAGCCCCTCCTTCTGTAAAGCACACTGTGCTCTGATTGGTCGTCTGGAGCAGTGTGTTGTGATTGGTCGAGCGCTTGAGTGCGTCTGGGAAATGTCCCGCCCCTTTCCATAACCGCCAGTTTAACACACTACTGACTAACTCAACCAGGCCCCGCCCCTTTATTCTGCGTATTAATTATTATAATGAGGAATATTGCAGCGTGTTCGTTCCTGGAAGAAACTCAAGACTACAATGGAGGCGTTTCAGGGAGTTCAGAAACACTGACACTGATATAGAGAAGAACTCCCACTGGAGGGACTTTTTTCATGCTTAAACAGCAACATTTGAAAGTTGAACATGTAAAAATGCATAATAAGTCCTCTATGATCACACAGACTTCAGCCATGACTACAATCAACAATCACATATGAAATATGCATGACCGGTAAAGAAAAGGCTGGAACAGGGAGCAACAAGCAGCAATCAGAAGAAAAAAAACAGCATAAATATCTTGCTTTTCTTCATGAATGCATTTACAAAGTTTCAAGAATTAGCAAGGGTCAAGTAAGACCATGAGCTTCTGGTGCCTGAAGCTTTATTATTGATGTCTCCTTAGGAACTGGCCTGATAGATCAACAAATGCTCATGAAACTGAAGAGCTAGGATCTGAGCAGCTGGAGCCTGAAGGGCTGGTCAAACACACAAGGTCAAATCACCGTTTTGTTGACTGAGATCCAAAATAACTGCGTTTAATCAAACTACTGCTTTTAAAACGGCCATAAATGACTACAGCACCCCGATTGCAATTTGCAAGTCTCATTTTGAGATTGATATGCATGTAAATCTTGAGTCATTGCAGTTCATCAACTTTATAAGGTGGATGACCATGAACTCTTTCAAATGTCAAAATTGCGAATTTTAATTGCACTTATGCAAAAATGAAAGGCAGCCACTCACTAAACTAGTCTAAAACACGTTTGGGACACATTTCATTCCAAAAATTAAACAAGAGAAGAAATCATTTTGAATGTAAATGAAATTTATAATTTCATGACTATTTATGTAATTATAATAACAAAAATAAATTAAATATTTATTATTATACCAATGTAAAAAAAAATCAAATATGTAGCTTTTTGTATTAGCACCTTTAAATGTATGATTTACACCAATTT